AGCTACTGAGAGGAGAACTGTGATGCTGCAGGCTGTTTTAATACCTGCAGAGGAGGAGAAGTTAAAAATGAAAAAAGCTATCATTATAATGCTGTGTACTTATTTGAATGTAAGTTATGTAGTCCAAAACACATAGATTATTTTCACAAAGTAGTCACCTCTAATGGATACCCACAACTAATGTTTACAGATGTAAAAAGAATAAAATAGATTTTAACAAAAGTCTACACCGCTTAAACAGTTTTACAGTAAATAGATTCAGTTTTAGACAAAATGCCAAAAATACACACAAAGAAATATTACATTCCTCTAGTGAGGCTCGTCTAAAAGATCTAAAATTGTGTCTAAATCAAAATCAAAACTCACATTTTCAACCAAAGATATTAATAATAAAATACTGCTTAAAAAAAGGAAACCAAACTGTTGTTGAGACAATTTGAAACAATTTGGCGACAAAACTGATAAGCGTTAACTGAAACAATGTTTAGTTGTAAAAACTAACCATTCTAAATTTTTATTTTTAAGTAATGTAAGTTTATTTCTATGCAGTATCAATAACAGATTTTAAAAAAAATATAATTGTAAAAAAAAATTTTTTTTTTAAATAAAATCCAGGATTTAAGTTTTTTTTTTTTTTAGAAAGTATCTTGGATCCTAACTAGTCCAGAGCTCCTGTACCACCACCAGTGCTTTATTGGAGCTACTAATTTATGTAATAAGTGACCAGAAATATAACTGCAACATGGCTACGCAAGTCAAACAATTTACCACAAACTAAATTAGAAAAAGGTGCACCATATAACTGCAGCAGCAGAACATTAAAAATTATTTTAAGTGTTCATAGAGCATCACCAAAGCTGTATGTGTTGGGGTATATGGTGGTCAGGCAAGTAAAAACTATAGTATTAAATATGCATATAGTACATGTATAAATCTTTATTATAACTGAGAATCCAGCAAGTGTATAAATTGTTCCTATGTAAATTCACAATAAAAAAAAATAATGTTAAAAAAAACTATGTTAGAAAAATAAGCTGTAACAAACCAGAGGCCTGTTTCAAAGTGTGCTGAGGTTGCACAATTTATTTATTTATTTGGAGGAAATCAAACAAGGTACACAAGATTTGTTAGAGATGTGTCATAATGACTAGAAAATGGTTTTAGAAAATATATTTACGTGCAAATAAATCATGATCACAAAAATACTGTAAAATAACCAGAAAAGATGTAAACTGCACAACAATCATTGAGCCTACACTGCCACCCAATGGTAAACTAGAAAGTTGTTTATAACTATAAATGGAAATGTTGATAAAGTTAGGACATTTTTAGACAATTAAGACAATCTATTAATTATTAAGACATTAGTTACTTAAGACAATCTATGTAAAATCCAATAAATAAAAACATGAATGCTAATTTACAGCAATAAAAAAGTATTTTATTTCCTTATTTACTATGTCAGTTGTAAAAATATTTAAAAGTTATTATTTATTTAAAGTAAAATACTTCTCTTATCCTACTTTCACAAAATTTAAGACAACATTTGAAACAAAATAAAAATAAAAAATAGCTAAATTATTTTTCATGAGAACATTTTCACAGATAGGCAGATCTGAAAAGTGATGTGCAAAATATTAGTCATGAGAAGTCAACTGATTCTTGTTTTATATTAGTAGGAGACATTTTATGATGGAAAAAATGAAATTGTTTGAGGAAAAAAAAATTCAAATGGAAAAAAATAATAGAAACATATATATTTTTAAACAAATTGCAAACACAAAAAGATGGCCAGTGATTAAAATTATGAGAGCTTTACAAAATGTGCCAAATGAAAACAGAAACATGTGACTGCTAAAGGAGTAAAGATGCATAAATGTTCCCAGGCCAGTCAGTTTAGACACGGACTAACACGGACGATGATGCCAATACGATATTAAAAATCATCACAATATTTGAAGTGAAAATATTTGTGACGGTTAGTTTTTCTCAGGTACTGCAACTGTTCCGAAACAGTTGACACTTCTGAAGAAATCTGTTTTAACTGTGTTTTAGTCAAGAACCCAAGAACATAAAAGAGTCTCCTCTTCTCCAACACATCGTGGGGAGTTGAGTTTAACTTTAGAGGGCAAATTCCAAAACAACCAACAAAACAAAATGTATCTGAATTAGTCACTAATTACAGAAAAATGTTGGTGTATAAAAATGTACACCCAATAATAAATAAACTCACAGCATAAACCATTATAAAATTGTTTAAATGTAAACAAATGCTATTTTTTACAACAAAATTAATAAATAAAAATCATGACTCAGTATTTAGAAAATTTTATTTTTTAGATTAACACAAAATAATCAGCCTTATTTGAATACAGCGGTGCTTGAAAGTTTCTAAAGCCTTTAGCATTTTCTATATTTCTGCACAAATATAACATAAAATATCATCAGATTTTCACACAAGTCCTAAAAGTAGATAAAGAGAACCCAGTTAAACAAATGAGACAAAAATATTATACTTGGTTATTTATTTATTGAGGAAAATAATCCAATAGTACATACAGCATTTGTGAGTGGTAAAAGTAAGTGAACCTCTAGGATTAGCAGTTAATTTTAAGATGAAATTAGAGTCAAGTGTTTTTAATCAAATGATGACCAGGTGTGAGTGGGCACACCCTGTTCGATTTAAAGAACAATGATCAAATTCTGCTCTTCACAACATGTTTGTGGAAGTGTATCATGGCACGAAAAAGGAGATTTCTGAAGAACTCTGAAAAAGAGTTGTTGATGCTCGTCATCAGGCTGGAAAAGGTTACAAAACCATCTCTAAAGAGTTGGATTACTGCAATCAATCGTCAGATGATCAGATCATTCACCCACTTAACATAAACTCGTTTGCAACTCTGAAAACCCTGTTTACATTAACCTACATGTATATATGTAGTCCTAAAAGTAACAAAAGAAAAAAAAAACACCAGTACGAAGTGTATTTTACAGTAAAAGTGTCATCTGGTTAATTAACTTTGGTGCCAAAGAACTGCAACAGTAATGTTCAAAATAATTTGTAGTGCAAGATCAACAATAAACAACAGATAATATAACTTAAATGCAAATAAATTAAATTGCGCAAAAACAAACAAAATAAAATAAAACAAAAATATCAAGGAAAAATCTCTGCATTCTTTCATTTACATTTAAAAAAACAAAGTTAATTAGTTCTTAAAACTATGCAAATTATGCAACAATTTGAAAAACTGAACTAAAAATATTAAACAACCTTTACCCACACATTTGGCCTGTTTATGTTAATTCTTCCTCAATACTTCACAAACTTCCTAAAACCTGTGCTTCCACTTAGGGGGCCCCCTAGTGGCCCCTAAGTCCTAAGCAGCCGCTTGCTTAGTTTGCTTATGCCTTGGGCGGGCCCTGAATGTTATCCCACACAGGAGTGGTCGACCAAAGAGCACTCCAACAGCAAGGCAGGTAATATCAGCGAGGTCTCAAAGAACCCCAGGGTAACTTCTAAGCAACTGAAGGCCTCACACCAGAAACTGAAAGCAAAGGTTCACTTTTGTCACACACAAATATTTAAAGTTGGATCATTTCCCTCAATAAATAAATGAACAAGTTTTGTCTCATTTGTTTAACTGGGTTCTCTTTATCTACTTTTAGGACTTGTGTGAAAATCTGATGTTTTAGGTCATTTATGCAGAAATATAATAAACTATAAAGGCTTCACTAACTTTCAAGCACCATGTTGTAAAACTGTAAGCAAATGTTTATACTGTATGTCCTGCTGTAAAAACTTTACACAACTTCAGATTGATGCAGGACAAATAACAGGCTTAGATTAATAAATGACAACTGACGTAATTTTTAACGTTTTGGGGGTTTTTTTACATGAAGGTGATTAAAAAATTAACTAAAAAAGCAAAAAAGATACTGAATCATAGAAATACAAAACTAGCATAGTTCCCGCCAACAGGGAAGCATTCACAGAAATTCTGCAACCGTCCACTCTGAGGGCACTGATGTTTGAATTTTTTGCCACAAACAAAATGTTTCTCTTGTGCAGCTTCCCACGTGGCCTTGAACCTCCGGAGAATCTTGTGTAGAAAAATCTGTAACGCATTTATTTTTGTAAGCATTTTTATTTACTTGCCAGTAACTGTTTTGGTACAGTCAAATACAACTTTTTTTTTCCTTACAAAGCGTAAAACTTCTTTTGGGCCTTTTTTTTTTTCAAATGCTGTGTAACCTCACTAACAAAACTACACTTTAATGTTCCTTTGGGAAAAAAAACTCGACCATAGGTAAAATTATAAATACTTTTTTTTTTTAATTCAATGATTATTTACCCACAAGGTGGTGTGCTGCTTTAACATCTTGTGAGCCTTTGTAACAATCTATCGAGATGAACTTCAACTTTACTGGAGGTACGCTTTTCCCACTTGGACATTGCTGCAAATTTCTGTCTTTCATTTGGACAAGATTGTTTTAGTTTGGATGTAAAAAGCAAAAACACTCTTGCATATTGCACAAGTAAACATTTAGTACAAAAAAAAGCAGTTCTTCAGGCATGCAGGCTGAAAAATCGGATGTGCCGAGGCTCAGAACAGCTGGCTCCTGTTAACTTTACTGAAATTACAATGTCTATAGTGGATGCACAGGTCTTCAGCAGCTGGTAGCATTTACTGCTCAGTAAGAGTAAAAAGTTAAAAAGAAACTGATGTGCAAAAGTTAAGTTTTAGGGGGGGCATTTTTTTAAATATAATTCAATAAATAAATTAATTAATTAAAAGAAAAAAGACAAAGTGATTTAAAGTAAAACACTTCTGTCAACCACCGAGAGACACGTTTGACCAAAAACAAGGCACCACTTTCTGATCTGAAAGGTCCTGTGAGATGGAGAGCCTTCACAAAAGCACAGAATGGATTTATTTATTTATTGTCAAAAAATCCATCAGGTTGTCCTAATGGGGGGAAATGTCTTCATTCATTCATTCTTCAAAAAGTGCCACAACATATACATTATTTTCAATTTTAAACTATCTGAAATGCAGTTCCTTTTAACTAAAGGCTCTTAACAAGTTCAAATAAAATAATTTAATTAAATTTTATATTTTTATTTCAGTTAAAATACCTCTAACACATTACCTTGTTTATTTTGTAGGTGTTGGGGGGGGGTAATAAATAGTATTTTTTAAGCGGTAATGTCACTGAGTTTTCCCCGAAAAACACTAACTGCCATAAAGTGAAAGGACCTTCTAGGGGTTAAGATTTGCTTTTATGTTGAATGTTTCACCACAAACTTCACAACCAGTGGTTTTTCTTTTTTGTGGGTAATCATGTGCATTTTCAGATTAATCTTTTGGTTGTTTTCTCACATAACCACAACTAAAGGGTTTCTCTCCTGTGTGCACTCTCATGTGCTTTCTCAGATCAGTCTTTAGGATGAATCTTTTAGAGCAAACATCACAACTAAATTGCTTTTCTCCGGTGTGGATTTTGACGTGTGCATCAAGATTTCCCTTTGAGATGAGTTTTTCTGCAAGCATCACAACCAAAATGTTTCTCTCCTGTGTGGATTCTCATGTGTGTTGTAAGATTTCCCTTTAGGATGAATGATTTACCACAAATATCACAACCAAAGTGTTTCTCTCCAGTATGGATTCTCATATGTGCATTAAGATTTCCCTTGATGCTGAACGTTTTACAACAAACATCACAACCAAAGCGTTTCTCTCCGGTGTGGATTCTCATGTGAACGTTATGATTTGCTTTTACGTTGAATGTTTCACCACAAACATCACAACCAGTGGTTTTTCTTTTTCATGGGTAACCATGTGTGTTTTTAGATGAATCTTTTGGCTGAATGTTTTCTCACATAAACCACAACTAAATGGTTTCTCGCCTGTGTGCACTCTCATGTGCTTTCTCAGATCAGTCTTTAGGATGAATCTTTTAGAGCAAACGTCACAACTAAATTGCTTTTCTCCTGTGTGGATTTTGACATGTGCATCAAGATTTCCCTTTGAGATGAAAGTTTTTCTGCAAGCATCACAACCAAAATGTTTCTCTCCTGTGTGGATTCTCATGTGTGTCGTAAGATTTCCCTTTAGGATGAATGATTTACCACAAATATCACAACCAAAGTGTTTCTCTCCGGTATGGATTCTCATATGTGCATTAAGATTTCCCTTGATGCTGAACGTTTTACCACAAACATCACAACCAAACTGTTTCTCTCCGGTGTGAATCCTCATGTGTACATTAAGATTAGCTTTTACGTTGAATGTTTTACCACAGACGTCACAGACAAACGGTTTATCTCCTTTGTGGATAATCATGTGCCTGTTAATGTGAGCTTTTTGTCTGAATGTTTTACCACAAAAAACACAACTATATGGTTTATCTCCTGTATGCACTTTGACATGTTTCTTTAGGTCAGTCTTTTCAATAAATCTTTTACAGCAAATGCCACAACTAAAGTATTTCTCTCCACTGTGGATTCTCATGTGTCTATTAAGACTTCCCTTTACACTGAATGTTTTACTACACACATCACAATCAAATGATGCCTCCTCTGTGTGGAGGTTTTTATCATTATTAGGAAGTTTCTCTTCATTAAATGCATTATCACAAACATAATGATCAAATGGTTTCTCTCCTGTGTGAACTCCCATCTGTGAATCCATATGTGGCTTTGTTGTGGGGAATTTCTTCTTACCCACACAGGAAGAGGACCTTTTTTCTGAATGGTTTGTTGTGCGTTTAGGGAGGGTAAAAGATTGTTTGGCCGCGTTGCTTCCTACGTCACCATTTTCGCCTGATTCAGGCAACTCAGTCTTCTTAAAACCTCTGTTATTATCTTGACTTTCAGGTCCATAATCAGATAAAGGGATCTGCCAGTTTTCATAATTAGCATTATCACCAATAATGACTTCAGTCTTGGCAAAGTCTGCACCCTTTCTATCTTTCAAAAGTTTTATATGATTAATTAGATCAGGGTTTTTCCCTTGATCTGAACCTCCAATGGAGGTTTTCACATTTATTTGTTTAGTTGATCTGTGGGTTGAAGGATTTTCATCTTTGCTAAGTTCAGTTTTGTTTTGATAAAAATGTACAGACAGATGTTCCTCTTCATTATCTTCACTTTTCACAGTAACAAGAGTGAAAGGAGAGCTGGTTTTTCCTCCAACTGAACTGGTCAAGAGTTCCTCCTTTTCCTCCTTAATGTGAGTTACTGGGTGCAAACTAGAGCTCCATTCATCAGGGTCTTCTTCAGTCACCAGCATCTGCTGAACATCTGCATAGAAAATTGAAATATAAAATACACACTTTGAAAAATAGTGACACTAAGATGCCACCATCATCAGGGGTGGCATTTCTTGACAAATCAAAGACAATGATACGCTAACTGGAAAACAACACGTGTTGAGTAGTTCATCAATGTTTTGTGAAGTTTTCTGTAGTTGAACTGTTCTCCATAAAGGACTCAACAATTAAGTGCAATGTGCAGACATTTAGAAACTTTTTCATATCTATATACTTTGGAGTAGTGCCGTTTATGCTTCAGGTGGACTACAGGAAGAACAACCCCCCCCCAACCCTATCAACATCAAGGGTACTAAGGTGGACACTGTGGATGCTACAAGTACCTGGACTGGACAGCTAACACCAATGCCCTCTACAAGAAAGGGCAGTCAACTTTTTTTTTCTGAGAAGACTTGGGTCTTTTAACATCTGCAGGACCATGCTGCAGATGTTTTACCACTCTGTGGTCGCCAGCGTCTTCTTCTTTGCTGTGGTGTGCTGGGGCAGGAGGGTGAAGAAAGCTGATGCCAACAGACTCGATAAACTCATCAAGAGAGCTGGCTCAGTTCTAGGAATGGAACTGCAGTATCTGACAGAGGTGTCTGAGCAGAAGATGCTGAGGAAACTGCTCCAGATCCTGAACAACACATCACACCCCCTGTATGACACATTGGACTCTTACCACAGCACTTTCAGCCGGAGACTGAGACCACTGAGGTGCTCCACATAATGCCACAGGAAGTCCTTCCTCCCTGTAGATATCTAACTTTTCAACTCCTCCCCCTTTCTACACATAGGATAATACATTTAATACAGTACTACAATAAATACTTTAATGGTTCTGTCTGCAACTGACCTGTTTTAGACCTTAATTGTTGACATTTTTTATATTCTCTGTTATTTTTTTATATTCTGTTTTTTATATATCTTGTGTGATTCCTTGTACATTTATGTTCTTTTGTACTGAAACTCGGGCACAACAATGTCCTGCAGGATCAATAAAGTTCTATCTTATCATATATGTCACAGCCTTTTAGACTATGAATTATCCTGTGCACTTTTAAAATTATTAAAACAAACACAAAGTAACAACAGTGAAGTAAACATATTAGTTCCTTTCTGAGAGTTCAGTTCTGTTCAAAAAGCAGAACACACATAATTTACCTTTGCCTCTTTGAAGCTGTTCTTCATGAAAATCAGCCGCACACCTTACATTTCTTGACCCACTGGGTTGAAATCCAGATGATGTTGTAGCATATATTGTCAGAGGAACTGCAAAGGAGAATGGAGAGGACTTGAAGCTTTGATTGGTTTGGTTGGGCTCTGGTGATGGTGGTTCAGTCATCTCAGGCCTCGGTGCATTTTCTTCTTTGGCACATAAGTCGTCACCATAAGAGTCTAACATCTGAAAGAAATTATAAAAAAAATGCCTAAATTTGTAAAGAAAACAAAACAGTATGTAAAAACTTAAGTCATCAATTAACCAGATTTGAAACAAATTATTAAACTTTTGTTTTCAATTGGCAGTCCTATTTAACTAGAAGTTACAGCCATTTTAGTTAAAAAGTTAAAACCTGCATTTTTGTTTATATCAGATATCTCTCTGATTTACTAAAAACAAGCCCATCAATGGGCAAACACCTTTGTAGCCAAGGCAACAAAGCAGCTAACGGGTAAGCATAGGTTGCACTCCATTTCAAGCAACCCATCAGCCAAACGCCCTGCTCGACTCCCATCAGCTAAATTCTGTGGCTGAAGTAAACAAAAAGTTGTTTCATTGCCAAGATTCAAACGTGATGAATGAAGTCAGTGAATTAGCTGAATATGATAAATTGCCAGCTCTATATTAAATGCAGATGCATTTATGTAATTAACTGTTAAATAACACCGTAAACATAAACTAAACAAATACACTGATTGGTCGTTCTTAATTTAAGGTGGCACCTCCTTCAACTACCTCCTCCCCATTACTTTTTCCCAGAAGATTGACTGACTGACTCAAAAGGAGCACACCCAGTCAGACCATCTGCAGCTGCCCTGAACCTTCAAGGGTCCAGCATACTCCATCCAAAGCTGATCAGTTGACAAGCAGTGACGTGGTTGCGTAACGTTTGTTTTCACACACACCTTTCATAATACATGAGACACATGGTGCAGAGCCCCTGGGAAACCCCTCCCACTGCAGTGCATGTCACAGCGCGGGTTTCTTCCCGCCAGGGTCTCCACTCCATCCCTGCATCTGCTGTTTGGCCACAAATCTATCACGAAGCAAGTGCCAAATTTTTATCAGACTCCTCCATACACAATGTCTGTGTGATCTCCATCCAGGAGTTTTTGGCCATTTGACTAATTTAATGTGTTCGTTTAGTCGTACAGCTGAATGTCCGAGCACATTTCCACATTGACAAACACGCCCACAAACTTCTGACACAATACTTGGTGGATACGTCTCTGAGCAAAGGTCCGACCCAGACCTTGTGCCGAGAAGGGGCAGGTGAAGCTACTCTAAGAACAAAGTGACGTGATTTTTGTCACGCAACTATGTAATTGAGAGCCAGTTTTGCCACTGGATAGAGTATGAAGGCCCTTTAGTCTTTGTTCTAGGCATGACGACGACGCATGTATGATAGACAATAAACAAAGGGTGGGCTCAGGCCATTGTAGGGATTTTCAACTAACTACTAAAAACAACAAAGACACATTAAAACACGAAAAAATTAGGATGAAACAAGAGCGTTCTAATCTGCTGTAGGATCTGAGCATACTGCTTTGAATTTAACTCCCATCATAGAACTCTTATCAAGTTCTTTGTTGTCATTCGCATCACATGTGGTACATGAGGTGGAATGATATTGTGTACTCAAGGTCCCAGTTACAACCAAATATACCAAAAAATATAAAGTATAAAAAAGAAACAATATACAAGGATTTAAGCTATAATATGGTGTATTAAATAGCAGCCTGTACATGAATCTGTTGAGAGCAGATGGGTATGAATACAGCAACTTAAAGACAAGAAATCAGCAGCATGGATAATCAGCAGCACAAAGTGACATATCACCAATTAAAGTGGCATTACAGTGATTTTTCTGGTTAGGGCTTTATGAGTCTAACAGCCTCAGGGTAGAAGCTGTTCCTCAGTCTAGTGGTTCTATCCTTAATGCTCCTCAACCTCCTGCCTAAGGGGAGTGGGGTAAAAAGTGTGTGCGCTGGGTGAGTGGGGTCCTTCATGATGCAGGTGGCCCTCTTCATGCATTTGGAGGTGTAGATGTCTGTGATGTTAGGGAGGTTGACTCCAACAGTCTCCTGTGCAGCCATCACCACTCTTTGCAGAGCTTTTCTTTCTGCAGCTGTGCAGCCTCCATGCCACACGTTAATGCTGGAGCACAGGATGCTCTCCACTGCACACCTGTAGGAGGAGGTGAGGACTGAGCTTCCCAATCCAGCTCGCCTCAGTGGCCTGAGGAAGTAGAGTCGCTGATGTACGTTTTCTAATGCGTGTTCAAATATGTATTTTCTAATGCGTTTAGTTGTATTTAGTTATTTGACACATTACAAACACTGAGTAGAAGAGGAATTGGGCGGGGTCTGCTGCAAACAAATATAAAATAGCACCGCTGGTAAACATATAAACACACCATAAGTCACTTCACCAACACCAAGTCCTTCATTTATACATGTCGGTTAAATAAATTGGAAAATTGATGATAACGACGACGTTGATCATTGGTGACTCTGAGAGAGGCTTTACCTCACATGCAGGCGCAGTAGGCTAGCTGGAAAGATGGAGCCTCAGTCTCTGTTGGGACTCTAGGAAATAGCGGCGGCTCGAGCAGGATATAGTTGAACCTTGAAAGTCTTCTTTCAATTCCTGTCTCTAAACGGCAAACATCAACCACACCATGTGCTTTTTGTAAGAACTTGGCTCGAAATAATCGCTGCATATCTTCGAACGAAGAAACCTCTTGGCCAAGCCACCCTGCTCCTCCTCACGGACAGTTTAGTTTACCGTCCCTGCATTATCAGGAAATCCAGCAGCGTCCTCCCGTAAAGTTCAGAAGCTTTGCTGCAGCCGTACAGAACATAATTAAACACAACTAAAGGACTAATTCGATTAGGAATTACGCGAAAAACTGACAATATCGACAAGCGCTGTTAGCTTGTGGCTTTTGTTTTTGTTATATATTTCCGGTCTTTTTCTTCTTCGTGGATTAAAAGAGCGGTTGGCAACTAACGTAAGAGGTGGATTAGCGCCACCTTCTGCTCTGAATCTCAAGCATACCAGACTTTTACAACTCTGTGTTTTTAAAATAATGACTTTTAAAATTGTGTTGGATACTTATTAAAAGTGAGTTACAATTTCTTGAACCTAACATTTTGAGAGGGCTTTTCAAGTTTAAGTGCCCTAACCCTATTCAGTTAAAAGTTATCACATCTTTATCATGGAGGTGATCTTAATTTTTGGACCAAAATCATCTTATGTTGAAAAATAAGTTGTAATGAAAAAACAAAATTCATTGTCACCCACTGCCAGGATCTTACCTCATGGAGGAATTAATGTATTTTTTTATTACAACTTATTTTTCAACATAAGATGATCTTAGTCCAACAATTAAGCTGTATAGGATAAAATTCCAAAAAAGCTACAGTAAGAATACCTAAAACATTTGGCCCAAGTCATACTATTAAAATTAAATGCTATAAGGAACATTTATTTGTAGTTATGGCTTTGTGAAAAGTAATTAGAAAAATATTGAAGTCATTGTTTGGGTATTCAGCAAATAGGAGTAACGTTGGAAATGTTAACAAAAACCTTAAATGCAAAAGGTTTTGTTTGATTTAATGTTAGACAGTGAGACAAAAGTACGTATTTTATATACAGTGCATGTTAACATTTGCTTTCAACTTGATAAATAAGTCGCAGAGCTTGTGCATTAATATTATAAGGTTTTTCTACTGAGGCACATGTTTTGTGCTGTTGTAAAGCTCTCAGAAACATCGAAAATACTCGGAGGATCTCTGATTCATTGTTTGACGTGACACAACTTAAGTGTGCACCGTCTTTTGCAAATAATTTTTTTTAAAATCATAATTAGATCGCAGCTTGCAGCAAAATAGTACAACAAATAGTAAACTGGTCATGGCCTCCTGTTGTATAAGTGAAACTCGAGTTTGATGTTTCTTTTAGACTGAAGTGTGTTTTTGGTTGAGGGCACTAGAGGGAGACCTCCACTCAGTCTTCAGAATTTGTTTGCTTAGTCAGTGGTTCCCAAAGTTGGAATCCAAACCCCACTGTGGGTCATGAACCACCAAGGGTCCTCATATATTTAAAGGTAAAGGGGGACAAAAGCACTCCTTCAAAGATCTCTCAGGCAACCATTCACAGACTGTCTGTCATTTCCCTCCAACCACCCACACACACACGCACACACCCTGTAAACACAAACCTTCCACACATCTGGATTTCAGCACCAGTTCTGTCACTGGGTTCTCCGCTCCTAAATTTATCAGGGCTTGCTGTCACGTGTGTTTCTCATATTCTGCCGGCTGATGAGACTTGCTAAGAATAGCACAGACACAGATTAACACACGGGGGCTTCTTGCTCTCCCTTCAACGCTTTCACAAAGCAATTCATGTGCAACTATGTTTCAGCTATAACCTACCAACTTCTCTGTGTGTGTCCTGACATTTTCCGGTCTTTTTACATACCATCCCCATTCGTTTTAATGTATGGGACAAGAGGCATGACCTAGGCCAGCTGCAGAGAAAAAGTTTGAAGATTAAAAACAACAGTCACCTCCTTCAGTGACTCCCAAATGTCACATCTAATCCCAGGATGAAGTAGGATCTCCTGTATGTCAGATGTAGTCCCTCAGAAAGCAGAGGGCTTTGAACTGATGCCGTCCTCCTCTGTCTCATAAGCTTTTTCCTAAAACTGACCGTGCTGATGTGTATAAATTACGAGCTCAGGTTATCTCAGGTAGACTGATTACTTTCTCCAAAAACACAACTTGAGTAAACATGTAGAAAGCCAAGTGCCAATGCAAACACGGTTGGCGGTTGCAAACAAACTAAGCCAAGGACACAGAGTGCAGCACACTTGGAGTGATTTGGGCACCATAATTGTACAATTATATGTTTATTTGGTTTTACACCCACGTTCATCACCCTGTTGTTAGCTGCCCACCATGGCATATGACACAGGAATATGAGGTCTGAACAACAGCTGCCCTCCTATTTCTGCATCTGTGACAGCAGCCGTCAGTATTTATGGGCATTTGTTTTGCAATCCTTATGCCCGAGAGCTGTAAAAACATCATAAACTAGAAAAAAGAGCAAAATTTCTCCTGCAGATATCTAGCCATGGTGTATCTTAAGTGTGCACAGCTTGTCAAAGAGAACAAATATAACCTTTGTTAGGGTGATAAGGAGGAGGTTTGTGTGGAGCTATTTGCCTCAACAGGAAGATATCAGGAGTTGAATGAAACCATAAATAAATAATAAATTATAAATTACTCTAAAAACTGCTGGGCTATCTTTTAACTCACTTGTTGGGATAAAGATGTTGGTAGCAGTTGGTTTGACCAACTACTGGATATCTAACACCGTCATTTCAAACTATTTTGCACATTATTGCTTTATACAACAAGCTTTATATTTTGATATGTTTAACAAGCAAAAATAACATGCTGAGACGTACTAAGGAAAATGGAAAAATTCACACTGAAAAATCCCATTTATAATTTATAATTAATTACATTTATACATTAAAACTGTACAGTTTACATAAGAGGAAATGTTAACATTTAATAATCCCAATTTTTGTTTGAACGCATCTGTTCATCACATTCTTTTTTGGGGTCCACCTGAAATTTAACTTTACATTTGGGTCAAATGAACAAACTTTTCAAGTCATGTAAGTCTGTAAAAAGTTCAAATAGCAGCCTAATTTATCATAAATCAATGAAAGTGAAGAAGCAGTGCAGTGGACTTGAGCCAGCTGCAGTGGAGCAAGGAGCGCGTGAAAGGGAAGAGAAACGTCTGTGACGTCACGCGCGTCAACTTTCAGTTGGCCAAGATGGCGGAGGTGAGCGGTCTGAGGAGCAGAGCTCTCAACGGTTTGAACTCTAAAAGCCACCTCGATGACAGAGGTAAACTGTTGTTTATTCTTGTTAGCTATACGTATCGTTTAGAGTCGAAAAGTAAACAGCTTTGAAGCGTGAAAAGTTTTTATATCGATGTACTTTATTTTTGTCTCATTTCCCCCGTTCACTGTTTTCAGTCCGAACTCACGGTGTTGTGCTAAATGTGGTACCCCCGTCAGAAAGCGCGCTCTCTAACTCGTACTCAACTAAAACACAGTTCTTAAACGCAGTTAAAAATGTTTGTGAATTAACTACACCATGGTGTGTCATGTTGACATTAATTTTGAAAAACTCTCCCCGAAATAATTTGAATAGTTATGGGACCAGATACGAAATTCACCCGCCACACTTGTCGGTTAAGTTTATTGACCCAGACAGCCACTTTCACCTGCGTGGCCCCGGGTGGCTTGAAACGTTTTTATTTTTAAACCCGCCTTTAATTAGCCCAATATGCTTCAAATACGTATTTTTTACTGAACATAAAAATATTTTCCATTGAGTTGGATGTTCTTAAAAGTGCGTTAATCTTATCCGAGCAATTACTGTGATATTTTTACACACCCTGGTTATTATTAGTCTGCTCAGTCTGTCTGCAGGCTTATCCACGTAACTGAGGCAACTTTTAACACTGCTGGATATGTTAAAATACAATAATAATACAGCAAAATCAAAGTAAACAAAGCCATTGTACTGTGGATGGATGCTGATTGTTTTTGATTTTATGCCTCATCTTTCAGTAGTGTACAAATCTTGTTTTATTAGATTTATCAGATATGAGTGTAGGTATATTAAACCTCTAATAACGTATGTATAATGATAATAAATGATAGGCTATTTGTTGTAATGCTCACCCCCATCAGTGTAATGTAAGAAGTGTAAGTTGTTTTCATTTTGCAGGCCTTATTTTGTCTGTTCTGGCAAACTGTGACAACTTCGCCTCTAATAGGGCTGCACAAAATTGTTTAATATGAATGACCAGTGACTAAATAAATTACTAGCAAATAGAACATGAATGCATAACACTTAAAATGGCCAATGCTTTATCGCAGCCCCTTGCAATACTAATAATATGCGCACTGATATTTGTGCGTATCCGTCACTAAATTTAGTCCACACTTGTAAAAAAAATCAGTCTCCATGGCTCATCACCGACATACAGTACGATTACAAATCTTCTTTCGTAATGACCTCCATGTCTACTTTTCTAAAAGCCATCTGCCTCTTTATCTGCACTTTGCCCTCATTGCTCTGCCTGCTGCAACTCTGCCTTTGCCCTCCTTGACTTGTTTCCAGAAAAAAAAAAAAAGTCTTGTTGGTGCTGGCAAGCATGGAAATTAGGGTGTCTGGATTATCTGAATAATAGTTTACATATACTTTTTTTTTTTTATAGTGCTTCCCTCCTTAAGGCTCATTAAAACTGCTCAGTTGAAGTGTGGCCTCATTATTTTGACTCCTACTATCACTGCGTGTCCTCAGAGGCTGCTTCAAATGTAGTGCAGGAGTCAAGGGAGCTGAAAGCTGATTTTGGATACAGTTCACAGATGTAGGCTAGCTTGTCCAGATTACACACCTTTTTTGTCATTTTAGATTAAACAGAATACAACAGTGAATATAGTTGTCTGTTTAGATAAACTACTTTATTCCTTGTGAGCACCGGTAACTTGCAAGAAAAAAAAGCAGAGCCTTCACAAGATAGCAAGATCGCTAATTTTAGTTCAGCCATTATGTTCTGCAAGCTGTCGAGCATAGTGCGCTGGACACTTTTATCAAGTGTGTGTGTGCGTTCAGCGCACTTAATGCTTTATCTACGCTTTCTATTATTACTTCTGTGATTATTTATTGATGTCTTCTCCCTCTCACTTTCGGCTGCAACACATCCTTCTTGCCACGTCTTTGTGGGTTCTTTCCATGGCTCCAGTCTGCCGCTTTACTTTGCTGAGTGTCGTTCTGGACTTGAAGAGAATCTGCAATGCAACAAACTGAGGACATCTTGTGGGCTAATTTGTCTGTAATGCAGATTGCGTTGTTCCATTAACATCCCCGCATCCTTTTGCAGTACTTCCAGGTTGAGCTTTAGATGTTCTGTTTGCATTCAGTCTCGTTTAAACAATCATAATGTTCGACATCCCCAAATCTGGATTTAAACCATTTATTTATGTAGTCCAGAATTATTGTTTGACTGGTTTTGTCCAGACAGTAATGTTAACTAGTGAGAAGCTCATCCTGATGTGTTTGCATCACTTGTTTTGTTGAATCCACAGCCTGAAACCTAAAACTGAGTCAGATTATTGTTACAGAAAATGTGCAAACAACTGAAAATCTTTTTTTTTTTTTTTTTTTTTTTTTGTGGAAAATCAATGTAACTATGAGACTTACTTTTTAAAATAATTTAACTGTAAAGCATTTTAATATCGTGTATTTAATTACTGGTATGTCAGTTTTAGTTTACCCCATGTTCTTTAAATGTGATTTCTTAGTTTACACATGGCAGTGCCTGCAGCCGTGCATGAAAAACATTTAATTTAAACTGTTTGTAAAGTGTAAGCTTTGTTTTGTTTGCGTCAACAATAGACACTGAATCACGTGTTCAGCTTGTCATACTAGTCATATTTTGGCAGTGTTTATACATCGTCAATGTTTTGGACGTGGACTTGTTAGCAGCTGGGTTGAAAATTCTACCATTAAAAATAGGTTTAAAAGCAACACAATTATAATTTGATGTCACTGAAACTCTAGCTTAAAGTGTCAATTTAGCTAATAGAAAATAAAAAATCACTCTGCTGTTTTTAACATTTGAAGCTACTCGTGTGTCGAGGGGTTTTATGAAGCGATGACTAAACTTGTCCTAAACTTTTACACTTTTTGTGCTTTTTTTAATTCAGAATAAAATTTATTTATCAGTAGATGGTTTGACTTTTAATACATGTCTGCTTCTCGAGGACAATAAACAAAGTGACACAAACCATATGTATCATTTGTCACCACTTTTTATTGTCTGTCCAAACAGGTGTCACTTGTAAATGAGTCTTCGAGGCTCAATGTGACTCATCTGTTTAAATAAAGGTTGAATGAATGAAAACAAAGTGGAAGAGTAAGTCATGTTAGTTAGTTTGCCTAAACCTGATTTAAATCTGACGTGAGACGGTGTGCTCTGGAATTTTAAACAACAGAATGGTTCATCATCACAGAGATATTTGACTGAGTAAGGCGCTTGTGGTTCAACCTGTTTGGACTTCTATTTTTTATATGTTGGGCTTGAGGATTGTTTCTTTAAGTGTTTCTCAAGTACCGGCAAGTGTTTTTATATTCTGTGTTGGTGATTTTTGTATTCACAGAGAAAATGAGAGAAGGATTGTTTTCCTATAAAAGAGAAAGTTTTTTTAATTAAAAATGAAGTGACTTACTAACAGTTTTGATTAGCCTATGTAAAATTATGAATAACCTCTACATAAAAAAATTATTTGCCATCCTCAAAGTGATGCTGAAAACTCAAACTATGATCAACATTAGCAGGCAATTAAATTTGGGATTTGGTGCATTTGCTATAGAACATAAAGGCAACAGAGGAACACTAAAACTGTTTTAATAGAAATCTGTTTGAGAACGGCTGTCCGTGAAATATCAATATAGTGAATGAACGTTTTTAAAGGCTGTCCTCGCATTTTATTCTTGTCCTTTTTTATGGTCCGTTGTGATTTTCACCAGAAAGCTTTTTTTGAGTTTGACCTAGAAGAGCAGCCTGGAGGGGATAACTGTTCCCCACAGAAATCTAGAACGATCCACATCTTCACTTTGATTCATATAAGATAATTAATCCTCTCCTACTCTAAAACGAACAAACAGATGTAAACAAAATGTTGGAAAACGTGACGTTCATGCTCAATAATCCAGGTAAAAAAAATCTAACAAAGTTACGTCAGGTTCTCTGAACGGATTCTTTGTGTTGAAACTGTGTTTTTCTGAACCACTGTGGCCTTGGTTGTCCACAGGCTGTTTCTGTGAGTAGCAAGTTGGCCACCTGGCCTAAAACACTTGATTGCTGTTAATGATGACTGATGGTTTCGGATGGGTGTGCTCTCTTTGCACGTGTTAAAAAGGGGAGTGGTGGCGCAGAGGTTAGAGAAGGTGGGCCTGTGATCGGAAGATGGTCGGTTCAAGCCCCGGTATCGACAACATAAAAAAAAATGTGGGTGGGGTAGGTGAAGCACCTACACCTGCCCCCACCCTCATTCGCTCCACTCTGGGTCCATGAGCAAGGTCCTTAACCCCCATCTGCTCCCTAAACAGGTCTCTCTTGAAAATGAGTTCTTGTGGCTCAATGAGGGTGCATTCACACCAGCCCTGTTTAGTCCGCTTTAATCGAACTCTAGCTCATTTTCCTAGAAAGTCCGGTTCGTTTAGGGAGGTGTGAACGCGCCATCGAACTCTGTCACGGAACAAAAGGTGAACTCTGGCCCGGGCTAAAACCTAGGTCTCTGTCCAGTAGAAGTGAACTCCAGCACAGTTCGAGCACAGTGTGAATGTAAACAGACCGGACCCGCTCCACAGGGTAAACAAACACGCATTTCTCTGACCTTAGACTACCTGTATAAATAAAGGGTAAATGGAAAAAAACAAAAAAAAAAACAAGCCTGCTTCTGAGATTACAACAGGAGGTTGACTTGAAACACAGCAGTGAAGGATACCTATGGGACAGATCGGGTTGGCAGGTCGCAGACTGACAAAGTCCTCTGGTTGGTGGAAGAAACGTTTCTGCACTTAAAGAAACTGATCCAGATGACATGATTTAACCATTTTTGTTGTTTGTGTTGAAACGTTTCTTCTTTTATTCAAAAGACTTCATCAGTCCGAGGAGGCTCCTCGGATTTATAAAGTATTATAAGTAATATTTATGGAACCGAGTTTGTTGTTGCTAGGCATGTCGCAATAAACAATAAATCAATTAATCACGTGATAAATGAAAATGATCTACCTCATTTATCGACTATCGTTTCTTCGTGTCTCTCTTTCTACTGAAGACACTGGATGACAAAAAGCTCAACTCTGGTGCTCTTCACTGACCCCTCCCTTTCTCTTTGCTCTTTAAAATCAATTTTAACCGTCCAAAATTGTGTTTTTCGATCGTTAAAAGCAGCAAAGCTAAGAAGCGAAGCTAACAGGCTGACCTCGGGGAAAAAACTTCCATCTTGTCAAAGCTCCAAAATTCACAGTTGAAATACATGTCTTTGTGTAAAAAGTTGTTTTTGTCTGCAAAAAGAAGCTGAGAACTTGTTTACTGATTTTTTTATTAAAAGCTTTGTATCAAACTCAAACCACACCGAGCGTCCGCCATTTTGAGAACCGAAAAATAGGAATGGGACAGCCCGTGTCAGTCAAGGGGCCCTCTCCCATTTTTCTTCGAGACACGCTGCTTGCTCCCTTACTAGCCATCCTTTGGTTCATACAGTCTTATACTGCCATCCAGTGGTCAAAAAAGATACTACACACAAAAATTAACCCAATATTTCTTCTTCAATTTGTCAATTACTAATTATTGTCAAATTTCAAACAATATTATAGTTTATCGCAATAATTTTTGAGACAATCGCCCAGCAAAATTTGTTATCGTGACAGCCCTAGTTGCGGCTCCTCGGACTGATGAAGTCCTTTGGATGAAAGACAAAATGTTCCAACACAAAGAAACCCTCCAGAGGACATGACTTAACTTTGTTGGAATCTTGGAAAACTTTCTGTGTTCCTTTGAAAACCTACTTCAATGTTGTTTGTTTTCCTTCAACTTTCTAACTTTGTACTTGCAACAGGATTTTCTTTGTAACCGGTGCAACTTTGTTTTCTCTTTTTGCATTATTCTGTTATCTAAAGGTTGTAAAGACATGAATAATGCCCCCGTTGCACCACACAAGCCGACGCTTCCTTTAAAGATGACTGAGGGCCGCTGTGAAAATAAGTTTACTGAAAACTCAGGCTTTGGTGACAGCCCCATCCCCTCACCAGACGAAGGCATCGAGGAGGATAAGGTAAAGTTTTATCTTCCTTTGCACTAATAAGCATGTGGACGTATCCTGTTTGAAGATCCTTTATTACCTTTTTATTGCGTTCAATTTTCATTTGTATAGTTGAAAAGGTATTTTGAAGGTGAAAATAAATCTGTGATGATTTATTACTTTGTTGGATGAGGTAATTTTTTGTTTGTTTCCCCTCTGAAACTAGCAAACTGCAGTTTAGTCACATGAGCTTCTCTTGGTGTGAGTTCTGATTGACTGGAAACCTGTCTCTCCAGGCTGTGGTGGAAGAGGAAAAGGCCAAACCCGTCCCGATTCTTTTGGCCAATTTAGACGAGCACTCATTTCAGCTGGACACTTCTGCGCTGGAAAAGATCCTGCTGCAGGATCACGTGAAGGACCTGAACGTGGTGGTCGTGTCTGTGGCCGGCGCTTTTCGCAAGGGCAAGTCCTTCCTGTTGGACTTCATGCTGCGCTACATGTACAGTCAGGTGAGGCAAAGTGTTTATTAGAGCACATGATTTAAGAGTTAATTTAAAATAAAAACTCAGTTTGGAGTCATTTAAGTGATTTTTGTTTCTGTTTGCAGAGCAGTTGTTTTAAATCATCCATATTTACCTTAAAACATCGTTCAGTTTCAAACCCAAAGTTGATCATCATAAGAACTGAAATCAGACCTGATTTCCTTCTTTATGATGATTCATTTCACAACTATCTGTAAAATGACTGTTTCGCCCGTCTTTAAATTCTGAACGGTACTTTCTGAGAATGTGTTTACGAGAGCTGAGTAAACACAAAACGGCTCCTCCTTCCTCTGAGCTTTATAACTGTGGAACACTTGCCGTCAGCTGATACTATAAAAACAGGTGGACTCATGAACAAGCGCAGCAGATGAGATTACAGCTGGCTCTCACATGTGTTGGTCATGAGCAAGTTTATTCTCATCCGAGGTTCTTGATTAATTTAAATTTTAAACTGTGGACCACGGGTGTACACCAGAGTAGTTTTAACTAGTCTCACGCTACAAGAAAGGAGAACTTCATCATCCTTTTTTAAATTAAATATTTTTAAATTTTTTTTAAATGCACAATCCTAACCATAATCTGTCACACGCTGTCGTTCAAACTTTCTGACCGGAGCCACCCCAGGATCACTTTACACTCACATACACACTCTTGGACACAACAGCATTCGATGAAGAATGATGTGTGAGTTTACAGCTGTCTCTCCCAGCTGTTGGGCCACACACAGATCGCCTTGCAAGTCTCTGCATGTTTTTCGTTGACGGTGTTTCATGGAAAAACTGTTAATGTTATGAAAAGTATTTTACAAGTGCAGACAACTTTCACAGCAATGATTTGTGGGAGTTGTAATGAAGTCATTATTGGGTGTATTATCAGTTCTCATGAATAGTTCCTAAAGAAATGAGTCTTCATGTCATCAAACGAGTTGCACTGCATTGTTTTACTGAACAGGAGTCAGACTTCAGTATACGCTCTGACTCAGATCTGGTACTTGCTTTAAAAACACCATTTTTATTACCTTTTTTAATTAGCAGCTTTTCTCACACGTCTGGAATAAACGCAGAAGGTTCAGTTGATCTAGTTTGAAGATGTTCACGCTCAAATAGAAATGTTTTGTGAGAGGAAGATGGATGAGATGAATAATTTTTAAGTTTTATTTTTCCCCTCGTCTTTTTTTAACCTTTTGTTACCCAGTGGTTTGTTTAAACCGGCTGCTGCAACAAACAGTTAATATATAAATACGTTTTTGTCAAAATTGTACCATGTGATGTCAGGATAAATTATGACCTTGACCAAAAAGTGCACTCTCCATCGATGGATTCAGCTCTTTCAGAGTGAAGTTTGTCAAATGTTGTCTAATAATAGAAGAGGTTTTACATCTTAACAAATCTCCATATTTCCCCCCCCCCCACAATCCTCCTGCAGCAGAGTGACTCATGGATAGGAGGCGATGATGAGCCCCTGACAGGGTTCAGCTGGAGGGGAGGCTGCGAGAGGGAGACCACAGGAATTCTGCTCTGGAACGAGGTGTTTGTGGTCGACAAGCCTGACGGCAGCAAGGTCGGATTCTCCTGGCGTACTGATCAACATCTATAATCTTTTTTGTTGATGAGCTTTTGACAAAGCAGAAACTCACTCTGGCTGTTGTTGCAGGTGGGTGTGCTTCTCGTTGACACTCAGGGAGCATTTGACAGCCACTCCACCATGAAGGACTCTGCCACTGTGTTCGCCCTCAGCACGATGACCAGCTCTGTCCAGGTGACATTTAAGTGTTTTGTTCTGAAAAAAAATTGACCTTTCTGTTTTGGTAACTAAGACATTTGCATGTAGATCTATGCTCACATTATGTGTTTTTTTCCAGGTGTTTAACTTATCACAGAACATACAGGAGGATGATCTGCAGCATCTGCAGGTTTGTGTCTTTTTTTTTCCCCTCATTGGAATGTTGCATTGTTTACTGTTTTATAATGATTTTAATTTTTTTTTCTTTGAAGCTCTTTACAGAATATGGCCGGCTGGCAATGGAAGACATTCACCTGACACCTTTCCAGGTACTGCCAGTTTTTAATGACCATATGCACATTATTCTAACATGTGTTATATATGTAAAGCTAAAGAGGTTCAAGGTTCTTTATTGTCATTTGCATCACATGTGGTACATGAGGTGAAACGAAATTGTGTACACAAGGTCCCAGTTACACCCAAAAATAGCAAAAATATAAAGTATAAAAATAAACAGTGTATAAGGATCTAAGATATACACTAAACACAAATAATGTAAAATAATACGTTATATTAAACAGCAGCCTGAACATGAGTCTGTAGTGAGCAGATGGGTATGAATACAGCAGCTTAGAGGCAAGAGATCAGCAGCATAGATAATCAGCAGCACATATAAGTCGAAGATCAGCAGCATGGATAATGAGCAGCACAGAAAAGTCTCAGATCACCAATTAAAGTGGCATTACAGTAATTTTTATTTTCCTTACAGTGATTTTCCTGGTTAGGGATTTATGAGGTCTGAGTTTTCCAATTTCTTCTGCCAAAATCGTACTGGTTTTGTCTGTGACTGTGAATCAGATGTAAGAGACTTAATTGATTTCTGTGGTTGGGTCATTTGCCAATCTGTGGTCCAATTAGTGCAACAATGCTGTGTGATCAATAAACATGGCCACTACATCATCTAGGTCGTTTTAAACCAATTAAGTTAGTCAGGACAAAATGTGCACATAGAAATTACAATTCATTAGCATATGATGCATTTTCCTTTCTTTATATTGTTAAATAAAACAAGTGACAACATGCCTGACCATTTTGTGTTTTTGTTTCAGTCCCTAATGTTTCTGATTCGAGACTGGTGTTATCCTTATGATTATGAGTATGGACTGGAAGGAGGAAACGCTTTCCTGGAAAAAAAATTACAGGTGTTGTTCAGATAAAGTCGAGCTGAAAATGCACACTTGTTTTGGCACTACCAACATACGTGGTGGTATGCAGTTACGTACACGAGGACAAAGAAAACCTCACACCTGGGCTGTTTTTATTAATTGCAGGTTAGAGAAAAGCAACATGAAGAGCTGCAGAATGTGAGGAAGCACGTCCATTCCTGCTTCTCTAACATCAGCTGCTTCCTGCTGCCACATCCTGGCCTCAACGTGGCCACAAACAAGAACTTTGACGGCAGACTGAGAGGTGAGACCAAAACCCCACACCTGTACCAACGATGCAGTGTAATAGCTGTTGGCATGCCAGGATATACGGTAACGGCACATGTCAGAAGTGTAACTTCTGGTTTTTGTCTCTTTCAGACATACAGGAGGATTTTAAAACTGAGCTGGCCAAGCTGATGCCTCTCCTCCTGGCCCCAGATCGATTAGTAGAAAAGGAGATTGCCGGGAAAAAAGTCACCTGTGGGGAACTTGTGGAGTACTTCAGGGTGCTGCAGCATTTTTAAGACATTTCAGTTGTTTGATACACACATTTCATACCTGCCATACTGGTTTAGTTGTCTGGCTAAAACAGATACTGGTAAATGTTTTTGTCTTCATTTGTTGGGATTGTTTATTTTGCGAAACCTAACTTCCAAATTCTTATGTTGTTCTCGGCGCAGACGCATAAGAAACGTATTTAAACACACTAACAGATATTAACAATAAATAGTTTTTGCATTTGTAAAAAAAAAATAAAAAATCGAGAAGCTATCAGTCTTGTAATTGAAGTTTGACTCGTGTGTGTAACGTTTGTCTTTTGCGTTTTCGTTCTTGCAGTCCTACATAAAGATCTACCAAGGTGACGAGCTTCCTCACCCAAAGTCTATGCTGCTGGTCAGTTGATGCATGTTTTACTAACTTTATTTGGGATTTGTTAAGATGTTTGAACGTTCTGCCAGTTTCTACAACAGATTAATTGACTGCTAAGATGTTTGGAATAGTAGATGTAAATTATCTGCTCATCTTTCCAAGCAGGGATGGGTTGTGGCTTCTTAGAAAAACATTTCTCATTTCAAAGTCCAAAGAACCTGGTTCTTGTTTCCGTATGTTTATCTCTTTCTCTGTGAGCTGTGGTTATTTCAGCAGGATGATGCCAGGCCTCATTCTGTACACCTTGGAACAGCTGGTCTTTAAAGAATCAGTGCGTTTGAAAAACTGATGCAGAATAAAAAATAAAAAGTAATCGGACATAGACGGAATAACCGTTGATCTAAAATTGCGTTTGGTCATAGTTAATCCTGATTTTTCTTGCAGAACTGTTGTCCTTATATCTCACAGACTCTTTAATTGAAAGAAGGATAATGAAGCAGAATACTAAACGTGTTTCAACATTAAATTTTAGGTGTTATATCCTGTAAAATACATGAAGTTGGGTGTGGCTGCGACTAGAAAAAAAGCAGATAACACCCCACTGTGTGTGTCCTCAGGACCCCCTAAAAATAAATAATTTATGATCTCAATATGACCTTCCTGGTTTAACAAATGACACAAAATTATTTGACGATTCTGAAAATATTTTTTGTCTTTTTTTAGGTTCAAATCATTTAATTATTATTAATATGTTTTAATTGAAATGGGTTATGTACCATATAGTTTTTAGATTTAATTTGTCATTGTAATGTTGGCTAGATAATTAGAGATACTTTTTTTTTAACATCAACAGGGTAAGTACACGTTTTCCAGCCATACCCACAAACATATGATTAAAAATGGCTTGCATAATTAATATTGCAGTAAAGTAATAAAAAATAGTTCAGTGTTATCTCATCACCTGTTTCTTGTTTTCAGGCAACTGCAGAGGCCAACAATTTGACAGCTGTGGCAAGAGCCAAAGACTCGTATAACAAAAACATGGAGAAGGTAAGAGAACTCTTTATTTCACCATATGTCAAAATAAATTAGAAAAATCTCAATGAATTTTGAAGGCTAGAACTCTCCAGGTGTTTTTGTAGAAAAGCAGGAAGTAAATTCATGTTGCATGATTAAATTCCATAAAAGAAAGTGTTTATCTGTTGAAAGAAACGGACATTAGTCTCTCCTCAGGCTTCATTTAGACAAAGTGTATTACATCACTAAAGTCCTCTCACTGTGTAACTTGTCTCACAAAATGAAATCACAGCAGCTTGCCAGTTGTGTTGCGGTTTAAAATGTTATGAAGGTGAATGGAAGCTGCTGCAAATGCCACTTTTCTTCATGTTTAATCACATTAAAAAAAAGTCGTAGTCGTGTGAAATTAGACGGCACTACTGGAAGAGCAACAGACTTTATCAGATGAGAAGAAATTAAACTCTTAAAGCTCCATTTCTCAAGCATGTTTTGCCATAAGAATGTACGTAAAATTAGATTTGTTGTTCAAATTAGGGGTGCACCCATTGCAGTTTTCTGGCCGAGCACCGATTTCTAAAAAGTTTGAACTGCCGATTCCAGTTTTGGCCGATACTGATATTGTTTTATAAGCGACATTGTTGTAAGTTCACAATGTACCTTCAAATTTCCAGTCTTATTTTATTGAAAAACATTCCCTTGAACAATATCCTAGAAACAATACAAACTGGTTTTAACTGGCCATGAGGCAGTGCTCTGAAATATAAATGAAGTTTAGACAATTGTTGTTAAAACGACAAAATATCGGTAAAATTGGTTTCTTGTGCAAGTATCGGCCGATTTCCCCAAATTAAGGAAATCGGGTGTCGATTTATCGGTGCACCCCTATTTCAAATGCCACTGGAATCTCTTCCACTCTGTTGTTTGTTCCAACAGGTTTGCGGAGGGGGCAGGCCCTACATGGCGCCGGCTGACCTGGAGTGCCACCACAAGGAGTTGCGCGAAGAATCTGTGAATATTTTCCGCTCTGTGAAAAAAATGGGCGGCGAAGAATTCTGCCAGCGCTACCAAACACAGCTGGAGTCTGAGCTGGACGAGGTCTACGGCAACTTCGCAAAGCAGAACGACGGCAAAAACATCTTCTACGTGGCTCGCACCCCCGCCATGCTCTTCGTCGTCATGTTTGTCACCTACATGATCTCTGGCATCACGGGCTTCATCGGCCTGAGCACTCTGGCTTTGCTGGCTAATCTGGTGACGACCGTGACGCTGCTGCTGCTCTGCATCTGGGGATACGTGAAGTATTACGGAGAGTTCCTGGAAGCAGGGGAGTTGATAGACCAGCTGGCTGATGCACTCTGGGAAGAGGTGAGCAGTGTGTTATTATTATTTTTTTTTAATTCTATAAATGTTACTACATGAAAATGTTGATATTTGTAATGGTTCAACTTAATTGGAAGTGCTTTAGGTGTTCAGATAGGTAAGTGTTTGCGCTTTTGTTCCTCGGATACAATACGTTCCGGTGTAGAAATAATAGAAAATTGTTATTTAGAGCTGCAACTACAGAGTAACAATTCACCAAGTTTTAAATTGGACTTTAAAATGTCAGAAAATATCAGTATGACTTCTGATGCTCTGCTAATAATCATCACAGTAAATTTTATTCTTTGATAAAGCGGGTAACGCTGACAGTCTTGTATGTTTGCATCACATGTCCAGTTTGTTCAGGTTGAAACCAGTTTAATTTTTTAGGTCATTTTTTTCCCAGCAGAATGAATTATTAGTAATTTGATTGCCACCTATTTGTTCTTTTGTGTAATATCTAGTTGTTTCTCTTAGAATATGTTGTGATGCACACTTTGTCGTGCTCATTGCTCTGTAGTGTTTAAGTTACATATAGAGCTGGGCGAGATATCGATATTTTCAAAATATCAATATAAAATTTTTTTGCGATATAAGTTGAGACTATCACGATATAAAACAATATAGTTTTATACTTGAAAATCCTCCTGCTGTCTTTCTCCCACTCGGCCCCCCTCCTTCTCCCTCCTTGAACACAAACCCAGCCCCTCAGCCGCTCCGCTCCTTCCTGCTTCTATAGGAGGTGGGTGGAGATGTTTACCACAACAAGTAAACATGGGAGATATGAAGAGCAGCTGCTGCTGAGGGAAAAAACAATGTTCTTTCGGAGCTAGTTTGGATTTAGATTGTCAGATGAAGGGCAGAAAAATGATTTTTGTAGATAATGCTGAAAATGGTCCTGACGTAAGGTCGGAACTACAAATCTTTTTCACCATTTAAACAGCGGAAGTGAAGTATGAACCGTGAAGCTGTTGTTGATTCCTATAAATATTTGGGTGTCTTGGTCGACTCACATCTCTCTTTTAAGCTCCATGTGGAAAACCTAGTAAAGAAACTGAAAGTTAAACTGGGTTTCTTTTTCAGAAACAGATCCTGTCTAACTCTGAATGCTAGGAAACACCTTGTATCTGCTATTTTCCTCCTCTCCATTGACTATGGTGACATTATTTACATGAACGCTCCTACAAGAACCCTGCAGATGTTGGATGCTGTCTATCATGGTGCACTAAGATTCAGAACTGGCTGTGATTATCGTACCCACCACTGCACCCTGTATTCATTGGTTAACTGGTCATCATTAACTTCACACAGACTCTCTCACTGGTACATTTTCATCTTTAAATCACTTCTTGGTCTGTTGCCTTCATACATCTCCTCCTACATGTCTCTGCGTGAGTGCAGCTACAGCGTGCGCTCTCAGGACATTATTACCTGCAGTGTTCCCTCAGTGAGGACTGAACTAGGCAAAAGGGCCTTCTCCTACTCCGCTCCTGTTTCCTGGAATATCTTACAAAAAGATCTGAAGCTCTCGACCTTGACCTCTCTAAGTGGCTTTAAGAATCTGTTGGACTCCTGGCAGGGACCAATGCAGACATGTTCCTGTTTTTAGTTTTCTATAATTGCCTTATAATCTAGCTGTTTGTTACTGTTTTTGCCATCTTATTTGTTTAAAAAAAAAAAAATCTGTATGCCTTTTTATAACTGTCCATTGTTGTCACCATTCTTTGTTGAAATCAGGTCTCTCTTGTAAATGAGTCCTCGAGGCTCAATGGGATTTACTTGTCTAAATAAAGGTTGAATGAATTGAATGAATGAAAATTCATGGATGGGACACATCAGAGGCAATGAGTTCAATGTCTTGCTCAGGAACACTTCAGCATGTGACTGCTGGTGGAATCGAACCCCCAGCTCTCCTATTGGAGGAGACTGCTCTAGCCTCTCAGCCACAGCTGCCCTCAGCTGAACAGGATTATTATTTAATATATGTAAATAAATGTCTAAAAAATAAACTAATATATGTAAATAGTAAATTTTTTAAACATTTATTTTGTAGAGTTCCAGCTGTTAATAAATGTGCCTGTGTGACAACTATGACAAAGCTTTGACTCAGAAATATATTTTTGTTATTACTTTATGGAAAGAAAAAAATAGAGATATATATCGTATATCGCATTTATAATAAAATATTGAGATGTTAATTTTGATCCATATCACCCAGCTCTATTTATATACATTTATGCATTAGCAATAGTTTATCTGTTATTTAACTTTTTTCCTCTAGGATTGTAAGACACGTGTGCAAACACAAACTTGTGCTATTTCAAAAAGCTGTCAAATGATTCATAATAGTTTTACTTTTTGTAAGTTGACAACAGGCCCTGTGATGGACTTGCGACCTGTCCAGGGTGTACCCCGCCCCTCGCACAGTGATTGCTGGACATGGGCACCAGCGACCCCCGTGACCCAAAATGGAATAAGCGGGTAAAGAAAATGGATGGATGGATGAAGTTGACAACATTTTTTCTTATTAACTCTTAAAACCTAAATGTTTTAACGGTCCTAAACTAAAAGTAGACGCTCCTGATATTCTATATTTATGTCAGACACAGTTTAGAAAATCTGTCATCTTTTTAATTGGCATAAACGTTAATTATCAAATGGCTTGTGAACATGTTTGCACCAGAGGTAAAGCAGATCATTTTCCTTTAAGCGCGCCACAGACTGTGCTGTTTGCTCATCTGTCAAAAATCACACCAGCAGTTTCTTCAGGGTTTCTCTGAAAATCTGACGGCTCCTATAGTCATTACATAACATTAGCCTTTCTGAAGTTAGACTTCAGGTCTGAAGCAGTCTGTCCACAGCTGGAGCGCCCCTCATGTCTTATCACCTCCTGTTAAAGCTCGCCTGTCAAGCCTCGTCTTCACAGCCGTTATCCGTCTTCCTAAGTCCGTCAGATTATGGTTTCATGTCATGGTTCAGAGCTCCTTTCACTTAAACAGCCAATGCTTTCTTCATTTCAGCTGTTGCACCACCTGGCTGTACTTGAGGAGAACATGAAGTCTCACAGTAGGCCTGTCGCAATAAACAATTAAATCAATTAATCCCATGATAAATGAAAATTATCGACCTCATTTTCATTTATCAGCTTCATCGTTTCTTCGTGTCTCTCTCTTTCTATTGAAGACACTGGATGACTAAAGGCTCAACTCCGGTGCTCTTCACTGACCCCTCTGTTAACAGAGTTCACTTTTGGCACAGCATTAAACGTGACGCATGAAACTTGGTTTGGCTTCGTGTTGTTCCTCCTCACTCTAGCAATGTTTTGAAGGAGCACACACCTTTTTATTAATCACAGGTGCGATAAATTAGAGAAGTCACATGACTCACAATAAGCCAATAAAAATAAGCCAATAAAAAAAAAAACAATTCTAAACAAATGAGAGCATCAAAAGACAAAAACATTCATAATGTCAACACCCTCCCTTTCTATTTTTTCTTTAAAGTCCATTTTAACCGTCCAAAATCACGTTTTTGGATTGTTAAAAGCAGCTAAGCTGAGAAGCTAAGCTAACAGGCCAACCTCGGGGAAAAACCTCCATCTTGTCAAAGCTCCAAAATTCACAGTTGAAACTCATGCCTTTGTGTAAAAAATGTTTCTCTGCAAAAAGAAGCTGAGAACTTGTTTACAGTTGTTTTTTTTTGTTTTTTTTATTAAAAGCTTTGTGTGAAAAATGTTATGCTAAAGAGCTCAAACAACACTGAGCGTCCGCCGTTTTGAGAACCGAAATTATTTCTTTGAAAACACTTGTTGTATTTAGCCCAGTTTTATGAATTATTATCCAAAATTCTACTTTGGTCGGTTAGTGAAGGTTTGTTGTAACATAAAGGAATTCATTATAGCTATATTTTTGTATTGTACTTAATTTAGCTAATTTTGAGATTATTTTCACATTTTTTGCTGTTAAACCTAAACATTAGGTTTAAAAAGTATCACCATTAAATCTAAAGATCTACATCTGCAGCAACTTCTTCAGCCTCTGGGTCAAAATCATATTAATCTTTAATTGTAGTTGAGGGCTGCACAAAATCAATCCAAGGGCCACAAATGGCCCTAGGGCCGCACTTTGGACACCCCTGCACTAAATCAACATTTTATAGAGGAAAGCATCAGTTCTGTTCTTTAAATGTTTTGTTGATCTTGTTCTTTCATTTTCTTTCTCTGCAGTTCGAGGATGAGAATTGTTGTCACGCTAAATTCAGTTTTTTTTTAGTTTTTTTTGTCGTCTCGTTTCATTTTGTCTTTGCTCCGGACAGTTTTGGAGTAACAATGGTCTTTTCCTCTCCTCCAGGTTCTGAAGTCACAAATTGAACATTACATGAAGGACAACGTCAGACAGACAGTGGTGAACTCAATCAGAGCCAGCCTAACAGAAACGGGCTCCAAGCAGACCAAGTTAAAGACTCAGTGATCCTCTCCACCACCCCCCATCGCCCACATGCTGTCCAGCTGTAGAACTGTGGACTTAGTTCAACACCAAAGCTGACCTTTTCTTTTTATTTAATTTTTTACTATTTTTCTCTGGACGACCTCTCTTTGCTGCCCTGGTTTTGTCTGTAGCAGACTTGCAGCCCCCCCCCCCCCCCCAGTGCCTCGTGTTACCTGCTGCACCTTCTTGAAGACGAAGCAGAGAAGCTTTGACACACGTAAGCTGCAGTCGCTACAAGATTACGCTGCTGTTCAAGGAAAACCGACACCTCCGACAGCCGCAGCTCTCAGACGTAAGCTGAACCTCTTTAAAGCGCATGTGATTATTTGCCTTAAGGCCAGTTCACTTCTCATTCAGACTGATGACAGCGGTTTCATTCTGTCAAAAACTGATCATTAATTCTTGAGTTAGAATCAGTTGAAGTTTATGTATAACTGAATCAAAAGCAAGAAATGAAAGATCCTTTTACCTTTGAGTTTTCAACACATACCAGGTTTAATTCAACTCCTGGGCTCAGGTTGCTTCTAGAGATGAGGCGTTGTCTATTTTATGTTTGTGATAAATAACTAAAGAGCTGCTTATAAGTTTAGATCGTTTTAAATGTTTTTATCGTAGAAGCTTACGAAGCCTTTGAAACGGTCTCGTCTCGTGTCAGACCTGCCAAGCGTTCAGCTCTGCACGTTCGGAGCCTGGTCTTAGAAGTCACTCATTTTAAACATTTGACTTTTATCCACGCCTCTTGTTGAAGCTGCTCCTGCTCTGCTGGAGGCCGTTTTAGGAGCTCCAGCTCAGATATTCATTCATGGTTTGATTTGTTGCGTTTTTACGATGAAAAATCTTTGTTCAAATCGGAACAAGCCGAGTTTGAGAGGTAAATGTTTTTTTTTTGTTTTTTTTTACCTTGAATCAGAGCTACTTTGATTGTTCCCATCTCAAAACACACAGCTGTAGTTTTAGGTGATGCTAAAAGTTGTTAAATGCTTCTTTGAACCTGATATCAGAGTCAGAGTTTTTTATGTAAACAGGGTCCCAGTTACATCCAACAAAAGTATAAAACAGTAATAAGATCTAAGATATGAACTAAGAAGAACGTCAACTAAAATTACACTAAGCACTAGTAGCACAAAAACAATACGCCGAACAGCAGCACTGAAATGTGGTTCAGCTTGTAGCTACAGTTTCATCCTCAGAGCTGATGTTTTCAAACGGCTCAATAAAAATCTTTTTCTGCACAACAGAGGGAATCTTTCATTTTGATTTAGCTCGTTGCAACATGTTTTTTATCGATTCCATCCATGATTAATCATTAAACACCAGGATCATTCTGTAGTTTATCCTTTTATATGATGTGAAATGCGAATCAGGCTGTTGCTGTATTTAATAAGCTCTGTACACAATTTAAAGAGTCATGACAATGGTTAGCTCCTTCTCTTGATCAACTTACAAGTCTTCAGTTAAAGAATCAATCACTTCTGTAGGCTTAGGTTAAGGAAAAACAGTCCTCGTCTCCTGCCTTTAAAAGTTATATTTTTTATTAAAATGTTCATTCTGAGAATAAATCAACACAATTCTCTCATCTGTTTTGGTCTGTTATTGAATCTTACGTTTCTGAGGTGTCTGTTATTTTCTGTATGTTAAATGTGGGCGAAGGACAAAGCACGACTTGTCAGGCTGTAAAAATAAGTTGCATGATTTTTTTTATTTATGTTCTTCTGTTTGGAAACTGAAAAACTTGATTTTTTGAAATTTTGCAACGTAACAGCATTTCATGATATGGGGGGGGGGGGGGGGGGCACAGGTTAGAGAAGGCGAACCTTTGATTAAGAGGTCACCAGTTCGAATCCCTGGACTTGCCAAAAAATGGACAGAAAAAGTGAAAGTCTGAGCAAGACCCTTACCCCCCCACCCCCAAATCTGGGGGCTGCAGTAGCTCGACAGCTGCAACAGAAAGGGCATCATGAGAGTTCGCTCGCTGAGGTGACCCCTGAGAAACGGAGCAGAATCTGAAGAAGTGAACTGCAGCGAGAGATCAGCGTTTAAAAATGTGACAGACAAAATTCTCTATAAACTTCTAAAATCTTTAATTTGACCACATGGTGGCGCTGCAGGGTAAGGAAAAAATATTCTACCAAAATTAATTTTATAAGCAACATTTAAACGTGGCTTTGCATACCTGCAGATGATGTGCTCTTTAAGAGGCTTTACATGTTTACAGTATGAAGGAGCTTCATTTGAGCAGATTCACTTCGTAATAAATAATAAAAAGGCCAGTTTTTCTTTGACAGTGAGAGAACGACATGGATCCTGCAGTTTACATCAAGATGCTCTTGGAAAAACTACATCTGGGAAAAGATAAATGTACACATCTGCATGAGTCCCGTCACCATTTGTTTCTTTAAAAACCTGATCAATTATTCTTGAAGTTTTACTTTAGAAACAAACGGCCTTTTCATTTAATGCTCCAGTTTTGTTTTTATTTGAGCACTTTTAATCGTTTTAAATGAACAATTTTAGTCTAAAATGGCCCCTAAACTCATCGGACAGCGGCATTGGTTTTTTTTAAGGAAATATCAAATTATTTTAACATCGTTTCTTATACACTTAGCTGTAGAAACTTTGATTCAATTTCTTTTGCTGCATCCAAAGGAACTAAAGATGATGGTTTGAGAGACATAAAATAGTACTGTAGCACCGACAAGCTGAGCCGTTTGCTCCAATTAACTGATTTAAAACGAGTCCATGTCTTTTGCATTGTCTAAATTTTAAGCTGAACGGTGAATTGTGCTTTTTTTCCCCTCATGTAAAGCCCATGAAATGTAGAAACTTAAATTTACAGACAAGTCAGCCTGCATAACAATTTACGTTGTTGGCTTGGATTATCTTCATATTGCTTCGATTTTTTTTAATGCTTGTGGTACTTCTTCCCAGTTTCTGAATACTTTTATTACATTATTTCTAGTCAAGTATTAATACCTTTAAATACGATTTGCATTTTGATATTAAAGATTGTGTTTTAAATACTTAGGGGTCAAACTGTTACTGCATTTCCAGAAATGACCAACAGGTGGAGCCAGAGATTTAAAAATACACATTTATTTTCTCAATGTTTGAGGCAGAAACATGAGCAACTTTAGGGCACCCAGATATTTAAAAATAAAAATGAAAACCAACACTGTGCTTTAAAAAAAGCAGTTGGTTAAGATGTAAACAGCTCTTCTAATGAATACTGACAATAACTAAAGCAATTTTTTTTTTTTTTTAAAAGCAGCAATTGCCATAAAAAGCAAACAAAATACTGATGCAACTTCAGGCTCAACACAGTAAAAACTATTGCTTGTACAAAACCTAACTCTTAACGAGAACAAGCATAAAAAGGCACGCACTTCCTGAAATAATAAGAAAAAGTCTCCCAAATATTGTCACATTTGTTTTGACCTCAATGGCAGCTGCATGTTTTGCATATTAAAGTTTCAAAAATACACAATTTATTTTGTAACAGTACAAAAACTAAACAACACGGGCTGAAAATCTAAAGAGAAAATGTTTCTATTCAAGTCAAAGTGATGTAAGAGGCAGACTGGTAACGACTTTGTCTAGAACTAAACACGAAAACGTCAAATTATCTATCAGCTACGGATTAGGATTTTAAAACGCTGCAGTGACAGAGCGAAGTGGTTCAGCTGAAATCCCTCAGAGTTCATCTTTTCCCATGTTGTCTTTGCGTTGTTGGTTTTTTTTGGTTTAAATCAAAGTTAAAAGCTGCAACAGTCCACTGAAATGTGACAATTTCATGTATTTTATACACTTTACATCCCACCAAAGAGCATTATTTCTAAAAGTTTTAGGGACATTTTTTAAAAACATAAAAGCTTTATTGCTTTGCAAAATAGCCTTTTGTTTCAGACCTTGGGGGATCTACGTGCAGTCTTCAGGAATATTGCTGGAATCATTACATGTCTAGATGCTCCTTTAAGAGTCCTTCATAAATACTTTTTAAAACACTTTTGGCTTTAAATTACTTTGATCAGTGCTAGATTAAAATAAAACCCTCTAAAACAGGTAAAAGCACAATACATTGTGCGACTGAGGGGGAAAAAAAAAATATATATATATGTTATAGCTCCCATTGGATTATCGAGTCTTTCTTAAAACTTGTGGATTTGTTCTCTAGCCGTCCAGTTTACACCCCACTCCATACCGGCTGAGCTCATGACGGAGGAATTGATGAAGATGAGGTGGTCTCCAGACATTTATGAAAGATTCTTCTGGAGATTTTAGATCATGGCCCGGACAGCAAAGGAGATGGCAGCACCCAGTGCCAAGCCGAGGGACAAGAAGAAGGCCATGATGGCGCCCGCTGTCTCTGCCTGATGCTGCGGCACCTTCCTGCACAAAGACAACAAAAGGGCGGAGGGGGTAGCTGTTAGGAAGAAGTGGTTCAGCATGAAAACAGAACAGGAATCAGGACAGCGTGATCAGGCCGAGATTTTTCACAAACTCCTCTGCGCAGGGCGCCTTTGCATTTGAGTCTTACTTTGGTCCGAAGCACATGCAGAGGCTGGCCAGGTATCCGTTGGAGAAGGAGAAGATGATGATGAAGATGATGTACCAGGCGTCGTGATAAAACAGAACGGGGAGGTAATGACGAGGCGTGACATTGCAGAGCATGAAGAGCGGGATGAAGACGACCCGCAGGCCCACCAGCACAGGAAGCCAGATACTGTCTTTACCCGGCTGGACAGAGAAACGCGCGGTTACTATGGAAACCCCCAACACAATATCTGGCAATCTGGTTCCCTCCTTAATGTTGTTCCTCCATGTTTTCTTAAGGAGGTATTTCCTACTGTTGGCCCCTTTATCCTTAATGTGATTAACAGCAGTTTGATGTTTAGTGTGGTACCAAGCCATATTAGACATGTGGTGCAAACATTGTTAAACGATCTGGCCTTGATTCATCTTCCTTGTCAAACGTTAGACCAATCTTGAAGTTACCCTTTATATCCAAAATTTTAGAAAAAAATAGTTTACACCCAGCTTTGTTGTTTACACCCAGAAGGCCTTTCTGGATTCATTTAAAAATTTGCAGTCTGGATTCAAAACATACCACAGCACTGAATCTGCTCTTAAGTGTTTTTAAATTACATATTTTTAGCACAGGATTCTGGGAACTGTTTTTACTCGTTCTTTTAGATTCAACAGCTGCTTTCGACATGGTCGACCATGACATTCTCATCTCTAGATTGGAGCAGTGGGTGGGCATCACTGGTTTAGCTCTTCAGTGGTTTAGGTCCTACCTTTCTGATAGAGGTTTCAGTGTGAAGATGGATAATTTTACCTCTGCTTCTGCTGCCCTCCCCTGGGGGTACCCCAGGGCTCCATTCTTGGTCCTCTCCTGTTCTCACTTTATCTTCTGCCACTGAGTTCCACTTAAAGTTGCCACTCTTCCTCCTATCTCATCCATGCATGGTGTTCCTATTGAGTTTATGGATTCATATAAATACTTGGGAATTTTGGTTGATGCACATCTCCCTTTTAAACCACATATCGATAACTTGATAAAGAAACTGAAATTAAAACTGGTTTTCTTTTTCAGAAATAGATATTGCTCAACTCTGAATGCCAAAAAATGCCTTGTAACCACTACCTTCCTACCCGGTCATTGACTATGGTGACATTACTTACATGAATGCTCCTGTCAGCTCCTCGCAGATGTTGGATGCTGTCTACCATGGTGCACTAAGATTCATAACTGGTTGTAACTAACATACCATCACTGCACTCTGTACTTCGTGGTCAGTTGGTCATTATCTACACGTAGGCTCCCACACTGGTTCATTTTCATCTATAAATCCCTCCTTGGTCTGCTACTAGTGCAGTTTCCACATGCGCTCTCAGGCCATCATTACCTGCAGCGTTCCCTCAGTGTGGACTGAACTCGGCAAAAAGGCCTTTTCCTACTCAGCTCCTGCAACACCTTGCAACAAGAACTGAAGTTGTCCACCTTAATTTCTTTACGGGGTTTCAAACATTTGATGTCGATAGAAAAATCAAAGCAAATATGTTCTTGTTCACCCTGTTTAATGGCACCCTGATTTATGTTTTATACACTACTCTTATTTTAACTGCATTTTTACTGTAGTTTATTGTTGTCCTCGTTTACCGTTATTGTTGTCTGTACTTTATATGTTCTGTCTGGAACAGGTCCCTCTTGTAAATGAGTCCTGGTGGCTCAATGAGGCTAGCCTGTTGGTTGAATTAATGGGTTTTATTTTCAGAAAGCATGGTGTGCAATGTCATTTGTATGTGGATGACTGTTGTAGTGAACTAAGCCTAAGGTCAGGATTTGACCTTAAGAACTATATGGGACAGAAACTGTCATTTCATTGATTTGAATCCAGAAATACAGGTTGACCCATCCTGAGATTTTCTTTCTTGAAAATTCAAGTGAAAGAACACTCTCTTTTTTATTATCATTACTATTTTACAAATGTTGATAATCAAAGTGTTTTAGTCCAAACCATTTTAGATGTTGTAGTGAACTAATCAATTTTTATTAACTGTGAAACAGTAATAACGATTTTTAATCCTCATGCAAAGTTAGAATTCATGTTAAGGTCTGTTACAGAGTAATTATGCATTTTCTGATTTTCTGTCTTTGAATGAGCAGTGTTGGTCCAAGGTTGGACTCAAACGCAGACAAGTGTTGGAACGAACTGTCTTGTTTTTACATCCTCTCAGACGTAAATAGAGAAGCTGGCACCTGTTTTCCGCCAACTCGTCTAAATATCCCTCTCGTCTGTCTGAAAAACATTTTCAATCTGTTCCATAACATTCTTGCTGTTTTTCCTGACTCCTAGTGACCTCTTACGTCACAAAACACACCTCTGTCTGGTCGATATTGACCAATCAGAAACTCCCAAATGAACCGGAAATAGAGCTCTTTAAAATGTCGGTACTTCCTAGTTTAAACCAGTGTCTGGAGAGTGGCGGAGAGTGTCGAGAGTCGTGTGGAGTTTCCAGTCGAGTTTGGAGTCGTTGCAGCTCCCGTGCTGGGAAACAGGAAGATCCTGACATGACCACAGAGCTCTTCCGAGTCTTATGGGATTATAACATCTTCCACCTCTGGGGGGAACACTGACGGACTCCACTCATGTGAAGTCCACTCGTGAGGTGAACTTGTGTCGAACAAGCACCGTCACTACTTCGGACGATTCACAGCTGTTCCTACGGAGACGCTGAAAGGGTGCGTTGAATGGACTTTCGTACCGGTGGGGACATCTCCAGGTAAAAAGTTGATTTATAACACCTAAGTGTACTGGGGAAGAAGCTGAGAAAAGCCCGGAGAGTGCCGTTTCTGGTGCCGACATAAACAAACCCCCTCACCCATCTTTTTCTCCCTTTAAACTTCATCTTTCCATCTTTAAAATTCTTCTATCAAGTAGAAGTCATTCCAGATATTTTAGAAATGTCTGTGTAAAGTTCTCATCCACCGCCGTGTGGATAATCAAAATTGTACAGTTTGCTAAAACTAGCCATGTTATTTTCCATATTTTGCCAATTAATGTAAATGTGTGATGTGTTAAACTTTGATTCTGTTAATAAATGACCGCATTCATTTTGATGGGTCAAAGATAATTAACGTCTCACGTTACATTTCTAAATTCAATGCACATTATATACAGTCCAGAAAAATGAAAGAATCCGTTTAATTGATGAATATATCTCATGCATATGTTCATCTACACTGTCAAGTCTACTTTCCTTTGAAACATATCGACTCCACTGAGTCTCTCCTGGACTATCTCCATGACATTAGAGGATGGATGGCACTTAATTTCCTCCAAGACTGAGCGAGGTTATGATCTTTAAATCCAGTGGCTCTAGCAGTATCCCCACCTTTGATTTTCCCTCTTTGGCCCCATACAAAAAAATCTACTGTCACAAATTTAGGGGTGAAAATGGACCCTTGCCCGAAAGTTGACTGCCATGTCAACAGCGTGTTTAAGTCATCTTTCTCTCAGCTGAGGCGCCTGTCAAAAATCAAGCCCCTCCTTTCTAGGCGCCACTTGGAGACAATAATCCACGCTTTTGTCATTTCATGTCTGGATTATTGCAACTCTCTTTTGATCGGAGTTAGCCAGGCCTCGCTCTCACGTTTACAGCTGGTACAAAATGCTGCTGCACGAGTTTGAACTGGTGTAGGTAAACAAGAGCACATAACTCCAGTTTTGGTGTCCCTTCATTGGCTTCCTGTCTAGTTTAAAAAGTTATATTGTTTGTTTTTAAGTCTTTCAATGGTTTAGTCCTCATTTGTCTGAACTTCTTCACCTTTATATGCCATCACGTGCTCTTAGATCATCTGACCAGATGCTTTTAGCAGTCCTGAATACCTTTGATAAATCCAGAGGAGACTAAATTGTGGAACGAGCTGCCGCTAAAGGTCAGGCAGGCCCCATTACTTTGTTTTTAAAACTTGTTTAAAAAAACAACAACAAAAAAAAACATTTTTCTTTGGCTTTTAACCTAAAGTGAGTTAGCATCTGCGTCTTAATGTTGTACTCATTCCTTGCATTTGTGATGTTTTGATTTCTATTTTCTTATAGTTGTCTTATCGTTTTCTTCTTCTTCTTTGTTTTTATTTTTGTACAGCACTTCAGTCAGCTGCTATGTTGTATTTTATGTGCTTTAGAAATAAAGTGGTATGGTAATATGAGCTCGGATCAATTGTGCAAGAGCTTTGTTTAAACTTTAGCCGTTAACGGTTTGGAGTCAACTCCGTTTATCCGTTAGGAAAATATGTCATGAATTGCTGGACACATTTTTATTATTTTCTAAAGTTTTTACTTCAATTTGCTGCTCTTCAGTTCTTGTAGTGAGAGTTGTGACCTGCAAATTATAGCTTGTGAATTTTCAAGATGTTACAAAACAAACCAATATAAAAATTAATTAACTAGAGCAATTAAGGTTAATGTCATATATAAACAAGTGTAGAAAATGTTTAAAAAAAGTAACTTAAAGTTATGACCGAGTGAGGAACCAGGAGGATCTCAGGGGTCTTGATGACGCTAATAAAAACGCTCACATGCTCCTGCAGCAGCTGACTCCTGTTATCTGCACCGAGGAGCTGCATTCCACCGCAGGTCAGACTGTGTCGGCTAAATGTACTCCTTTTATCCACAGCTGATTATATTAGATTTAGTCTTTTCCCTCACAGGAAATTAAACCTTCAATGTTTGTTTTCAGTTTGTGCATGAGGTTTTGTTTATGAAGCCAACATTTGTTTAAACACACCGAAGGGAAAACACAAGCCTGACATTTGATATAAAAACAGAAGAAAAAGTTTAATTCTTTGAATATTTGAAGTAATGAGCGTAATTAAACCTGATGGAAGTCAGAAACATCTTGCCGAGAATCCCGAGTGAGTCACAGAGAGGTCAAACGGGACAAATGCGAAAAATTTAGAGTACCTAAAGTCATTTTAAATACTTTTTGAAAGCTTGATAGAGTTCTCCAGAAATGCTTTGAAATGTTGACATCGAGCTCGGATGTGAAGCAGCACCGAGGGCCTTGTCAGTAACGTTTGTTGTAAAACAGCAGTTAAAAATCACTTTTCTCTGAGCTCTACAGAGATTTCCTTCACTCACAATAAACATTTCCCTGATCTCAGCAACTAAACTTCAGCACTTTCAGCACAGACTCAGTCCAAGTTTTGTTTTTCCAACATCCCTCACATGACACAGAGATTTGCTTGCAGCTAAACATTTGATCCGGCTAAAGGCTTTCCAACTGTTTACAAGAGTCTGTTGTTCACGGAACATCATGACTGCTGGGAAAACTGCAGATCAAATTAAATATTTTGAAGTGGTCCCTTTATATAAAGAAATTAATAGTAAGATGATCCCACAATAATACACTCTCCAAGTTTAATAAAGATGCTCTCACATGCTGATGTACGTCTGGTTGCTGGTTTATAATTTGTAAAATATATATTTGATTTTGCCCAGATTGTTTGTGTGTTGTTACTGACCCACATGCAGAAGGCCGTCAGGCTCCTGCCAGCCCAGTCCATCACATTGAAGAGCAGAAAACACGACACGGGGATGAAGTAGGTTTCTGAAAATGGATCAAAACAAACGGAAGTTATTAGAAAAAGTCCTTCTCTACACGATAAAATACGGTTAACTTAATCTCAAACGTCTACAGCCTGCTGGTCGAGTTATCCGAGGCGACCGATGAGAAATTATTTCACGCAGCAGAAACTTTGGGTCAATATTCAGGTTTCTGCTGAAAGAAATTACAACTCGTTTCTGTAAATGCATCATCTGCTTTGTAAAAATTAAAGCCTTGTTTACAGATTTTATTACTTCATACATAAAAGTAAAATATTACAAAAACCAATTTATCATATGATAAAATGCACTGATGAGGAAAAAAAGGCATTAGCAAAAATAAATGTCCAAAAAGTCTGTTATACTTAAACTTTGAGGGGGGAAAACATTAAATTTGCATAAATGTGTCAGCTGATTTTATTTTTCCCTCCACTACATTTATTTAAATCTACTTTAAATATAAAAAGCAAACCATTAAATATTAGTGTCATTGCAGAAACCAACAGAGCACTTCCTGTATTTTTCAGTCATTTCACTCAGTTATGAAATTATTAATGTTGCTGGTTCACTTTCACTCAACAAATAAGTAAAGAGGAAATCCAGTCTCACCCCAGCTGCCTTCGTTTGTGACTGTCGTCTTGACTTCGGCGGTCACAGATGGGAAGGCTCCGATGGTGACGAAGAAGATGAAGCACACAGACAGAGCCATCACCCAGATCTGATTAGAGAGCATAATCCGTGTTATGCAGGCAGTTTAATCTATGTCGACTTGGTAAAAACTCAAAGTGGACGAATAGAATTGAAGACGTCTACTAAAACCTAAAGGACAACAATCAAAGACAAGTATTAATTAAATATTACTAATCATGAACACCCCATCTGATGCCTAAATATTGGTTTTATATGTGAAGGTGAAGCAATTTACATTTTTAACTTAACACGTTATTAGCCTTTACTGTGATTTGTGTTCATGTGTGTGACTTTAAACCTGTTTGAAGATGTTAAACACAGAAACAACAGGTCTGCTGTCCTCCTCCATGAGACTCATGTCCGGTCGCTTCTCTTCTGTTGGGTTTTCTGGGAAAATAAATAAATAAAAATACATTTACTGGTCCAATTATACTAAAATGAATGGCGGTCAGTACAAATTTGAAGCAAGTACATGTACAAGAGTCTGATTGGTGAAATCTTGCAAAAAATAAAAACAGGATTTCTGCAAGTTTCAGTCAGTTAAAAATGAGACTTTATAAAACTTTGGAAGACTATTGTGATTTAACTTAAAGAGTTGCAGGAATTACAAAAAAAAAATTCAAAAGAATATTTTTGTCTTTCATCCAAAATACTCCTGAAACGTCCTTACATGACCTGCGTTTTAGTTAAAAAAAAAAAAAAAAAAAAAACCTACAGGATTAACATTAAAGGAAGCACAGAAATCATATTAAATCATATTTTAACCAACTCAACTCAAGTCAGACACCGAACATCTTTTCTCGGCCGCAGGTTCCAGATAAGAGTTTAGCGTTCTCCATCTCTTTCTACATAAAAATCAAGGTTTACTGAACAATTTGAACTAATTTTTCTTAGCTTCAAAAGTTGGCCAACTGTCATTAGAATTAAATAAAATATATGATAGGTTTTTAGGCAAAGTTAGAAGTGATAAAAATATTTTACATTTAAGATGTGGGGCCGGATAAGATGCTAACAAGGGCCATATTTGGCCCCTGGGCCTTCAGTTTGACACGTGATTTCAGTGGAAAATACTTTTACAACCTGCGTTTGTGTTGGAGTTGCTCAGTTTTAACTCTTTCATTATTTACAAAAAGCTGTAACAAAAAGTAACCAAACAACATTATTGTTACTCTTCTACCTTTTTTGATTAAGTCCATCTTGTTTTCTTCATCAGCACATGGTCTGGAGCCATTACTCTCCATGTAGTACTGGAAGAACTCCTGTTGACGACAGCAATGAAGAACCCGTTTCACTGAGTTTGTACAACAAAATATATATATTTTTAAATCATCAGTATCCCTCGATGCTATCCATCCCAAAAAGCTATTACCGTTCTGAAAAAAAGTTCAAAGTCAACAGAAAAATAATGTTTGAAGACGATGAATTCTTACCATCTTGGGCAGAGTGAAGTAAGACATTATGGCCAGAAAAATGACAACACAGGCTGTGATGAAGTAACCAAAAGCACTGTCCTGCAGTCTTGATCCAGCTGGGGACAAATAAACAAACAAAAATCATTACATCTGGCTACTGAGCATTTATATTCAAAATAGTCAAGTTATAGCAGCAACCTTCTTTACTTTATTGCAAACAATGATTTTTTTTTTTACTTATGAACATAATTTATTTTAAATTTAATAAATGAACATGCCATAAATGGTCAACTATGCTAATTATATTATTTTAATTTTATACTTACTCAGCGGTTTTAATTTGTAAAATCAAAAGCACCCGTGGTTTGCAGACTTTAATGAATTGGGTTTAAGTGATTGACAAGAATTCAAGTTCAGTCACTAAAATTTGCTCCAAACAAAAAAGCTAATTTAACTATTTTAGGAAGGTAATTCTACACAGATTAGTGATTCCGTCGCTGCGTGCCAACAAGTCGTTCAACTGCTCAGCGTTTTGAAATTAGTCGGTCTGGTTTTGGTCCCACAGGCAACACAATGTTCATGTTTATACTGAAATAAGAAAGCTCTTTGTACCTGTTTTAAGTTTACAAATGAACGAGATTTAAATGAGTTCCTCGAACACAACACTGAATGAAAACTGATTGAGGAAGCTGTGAGTTACTGTAGTCCTAGAAAGACGAATGATTTCCAAGAGATAAATGTGCCCGTTGTGCTGAAAAGTTTCAGTGCCAACAGATATGAGATAAAACTGTTTATTAGCAGAATATCTCATATATAGATATAAAATATATCTCACTGGATTGATTTTATAAAATAAAATAAGAAATCAGAATGTTATCATTGGATGATCAAAACTGATTACCAGTACATTTCAAGATGGCCACTGCAGCTAAAACCATTAGCAAACTCAAAAATTGCTGTAACTCAGTTGTTTTTACAGATATTAAGCTAAAACTTAGCTTGATAGTAGCTGAGAGTCATCCTCAACACACACTCTGAGGGCTAACAGATTGCAGATTTGAGCTGCAATAATGCAAAACACTATTTTAGGATTTTACCAAAACTGCCACAACTCCATTTTTATCCAACATAAAATAATCTTAATTTAAAATTCTCATTATTTAAAGATTTGGCATGGACTGCATATAATCTTTTAATTTATTGTGTTTTTATTCAGCAAATAGTTGCACAACTTTAATGAAGAGTTATCCAAGGCCTGAGGAATACAGGTTTGATCCACGGTCGTGAAGATGAAGTCATTGTTTTCAAGATAAAGTTTCTTACCACAGAGCAAACCTGTGCCTGTTGGTCTGGTTTTAATCCACCTACATTAATGGTGGGTTAACACGGGGATTAAGATATGTAAACTGAATTACATCCCAAACTATGAGCCACTGCTGAGGCATATTCTTTTAATAATATAAAAAGAACATAGTCATTTGCCATCATATCAACAGAAAGTGTTGTGTGTCTGGAAGGTGTAAATATAGTTTTGCCCACCACCTGTCTATGCGCTATTTTTATAAGAGAAATGTACGTGTGGTTTCAGCATGAGACATACTGGCCAGCGCGCAGATCATGGAGAAAGCAGCGAAGGTGCCAGCCAGACCCTGCCCGCTCATGATGGGTGTGGTGTAGGAGGCGGGGAGGATTCCTGCCAGCCCGAACAGACTGCTCTGAAAAATCGCCCCAAATGCTGGACAAAAACAAAACATTTAAAAATAAATTAAAATCAAGGAACTTTGAATAACTGATCACAAAGACACAGAAAAACAATAGATTCTCAAATCTACATGAACTAAATTAACTCTGTACATAGTTATTATTTACCCACTTTCATTTTTCCTTTCGCTCTCTTACTAAAAAGTTGTAACCGGTAAGTTTTTCCATGAAGAAAAAAAAAAACATTACACAATATTTTGGATCCGAGTGCAGAAATTTTGTAGAATGTGCCGACAGATATCAAAGTGTTCAGGGTCACTCCGTCAAAACCAAAACATGACGGGCCAATCCACATGAGAACGTGGGGGTCAGGGTTGACCCGCTGAGAATAAGGAGGAGGGTTAACATATCGACGCTGTGCAAAGACTCGTTCTAAATAAACACAGCGAGACTAAAGACTGTGTTGGGAAGCTCAGCACGACACGAAGATTTGTAGTGCGTGTCCATTTGGCAACCATAGATGTAATACTTTGTTTTTAGTAGCCAACGAATCAAATAAGTTTCCGTTCGGCTCGCTTAAATTTAGGTTGAAACAAAAATGTAATAAAAAGGATAGTTAATAAAAACAAGCTCGCTTCTTCTGTGCGTGAGCCTATTTATGTTTTTAGGTGCGAGATGATGACCCCAAAACTCAGACGTTAGATCATCTTGTTGCTTTATTTTGATGCGCGCGTTTAAAAAATGTCACCCGGACGACAAATTTCTTCACCTCCAGTTTTTACAGATGGACATTAAAACCCAGTTTTCAACCTTTTTTTTATTTTATTGCAACCTTTATACGCTAAGAGTAATCTATAACCATGAACTGAGCGAAATACCAAGACGGACTTTAATGTTATTTTTAGGGATGCACAATATTATCAGCATGGTATCGGGCGATATTAGCGTTAAAGTTCAATACCGGACATCAGCCATTCATCAAAACAACACGGATATAAAAAGGCGCTGTTTTTGTATGACAGCCCAGTGACGAGGATGCCTGCAGTGCCAGCACAACGTGATGACGTCACGCGCGCCTACTTGATCTGTTCACGGCGGAGAGGAAAATTCTAAATGTCGGCGCTGTGGAAGTTTTTTTTGTTGGTGAGGATGTTGGATACCAAAGATTTTTTGATTACGCTGAGCCTCGCTACATCGTCCCCAGTCGGAGATATTTTTCCGATGTAACTTTCCCAGAGTTATAAACCATCATTTCCGACGTCATTGAGAAGCTAATAGCCGATAGCACTTGGGTGAGTTTTACCACAAACATTTGGACGTCGTGTTAGCCCCGTTAGCATGATTAGTCTACAGAACAATGGATAGAGAAAAACTTTGAACTTAAAAAGTCTGTCCTTCATGCACAGGAGTGAAGAGGATCCCACACTGCAGCAAGGAACCTGGAACAAGCCTCCACAAGTGAGACAGCATCACAGGTGACTAATGCTAATAAATATTCAACACTTTTCATTTAATATAAGTTAAAGTGCTATGCATATGGCTGTTACTGGATATATGTAATCAGCTCTTACAGCTGTTGCACAAATTTTGTAGCAAATAAGCCTAAATAAGAGGGCTATGTTCTGACAAAGGAACATATATACAGTAAAATATCAGTATCCGTATCAGCCAAATAAGTTTTAACATCAGCACATCAGATATCAGCCAAAATTCCAATATCGTGCATCCCTAGTAATTTGAAATGTAAATTACTGAATCTTGTAATGTAATGTCTACATGAAGTATCACTTACAGTTGATGCAGACAATTTTGATCATTGTGAGGACAAAGAAGGGCAGAGGCTGCATGTCCACTTTGACAAACACCGCCGTCAGCATGAAAACCAGCAGGATGACGGTCAAGCTGCCCGAGATACGCAGCTTCTGAGGAATCCTAAAACGAACACAGGGAAGTTCAAAGACTCGCCGCTGCAAAGGTTGTAACAGTGCAAGCAAAACCTTGACACTCAAAAGTTAACACAAAAAATATATAAATCGCATAAAAGTTAAGTGCCTGAAAATTTAAAGGTCAGTGGGAGAAAACTGATCCTTTTTGCGTAATAAGGGAAGTGGTTAGAAAACCCTATACACTTGTTTTGTGATCACGATACTTGGATAAAATCAAGTTTCTTTATAAGGAAATGTTCATTCAGCTGTAAAGAAATTGAGAAGTCAATCATGACGTGCATGCTTTTGTTTTGAAGAAAGAGGGAGAGTGAAAACATCAGAAATAAAGACAATTGAAAACCAAACATCTGGACAAAAAATAAAATAAAATAAAAATCAAGGTGAAGAAGATGGGGGGGGGGGGGGGGGGGGGAAAAAAAAACATAAATAGCATTCCTTAGTGTGTTTTCTCACAGTGAGTCTACACCAGACCTGAATGTGATTCTAATTAAAGCAAACATGGACATAAAGGATTAAGGGGATTTAGTTACATGTGGCAGAGTCAGAGGGTAAAGGAGGGGAGCAGGAAAACAGTGATGGACTTGTTAAAAAAAATAAGATTTGCAGTGATTTTTGCTAAAGATTCTCCTCCAATAAATCAGTTAATGTCTCTTTTAGAAGCTATATTTGTTTGACCAATGTTTAACTTTTCTTTTTTCACTTTTCAGTGTCAAAGATTTGACCAGTTGTACCCGACATAATGCAAACTTAAAATCATGCACTTTAATAAAAACAGTCACAACCCTCTTTGCAAACAAACTTCAGATAAATAATAATGAAGCCTGAACAGCTTACAAGTAAATTGCGCATGTTGCACGATAATAAGGAAACTGTGATAATATCATAGATTATTACAATGGAGGATATGAGCTGAGATTAAAATGTTCACAAGTATTTCCATGTTCCAGCCGGGAGTGGAAGACCATCTGGTTGACAAATTTGTTTTTTGCTAACATGTTTCTGTCTGTAATTATTTGGGATTCTTTACGATATCAATAAATTTTCAACATGATGTACAGCTCTAATCTCGTGTATTGTTGAATATTTGATAACGTACGTCAGAGTTGATAATGCATGGAAAAAAACTTGATTAAAATATCAAAACGTTTTTCCTGAACACACAAAATCTCAAACATACACAAAGACATGAGCAGCCTGCTGGAAAAAAAATGATTGTTATAAACACATCTGTGATTTTTGATTCCTGAAAATATAAAAATTTGAAGTTGGACTTCTGATAAACAATTAGGGCATATTTATGAAAATGTTTCACAAGAATGAAGCATAAAGAGTATTCCTTAAATATTGCTGACACTCATTTCTAATGAAAGCTTAAAAATGCGGCACCCGTTGATTCGAATCAATCCATGCCAAAACATTAAAATAAAATGAGGACAGACTCAGCTGGCACTTCACATTAAGGACAAGTTTAATTCAATTAGAAGAAAACAGTTTTTCCTTTATTAGAACCATTTGGACCCAAGACTTTTCTACAGTTCCTGCTCCCTGATTGTGGAAAAAAAAAAAAAACACACTGCTGCAAAATACAAATATAACATGTGGGTATGGGTGAGTACCTCTGATGAATGAAGGAGTTGAGGCAGGTGAAGATGAGCAGAGGCACCATGGCACAGAGCGTCATGACGTTGTTGAACTTTGACTCCAGCACATTGCGAGTTTCTCCCACAGTTGTGTTGAACGCTGTGGAGTTCAACGAGGCGTCTTTCAGTCTGCTTGTGAAGTACTAAAGAGGAGCACAGAAGACTTTAGGTCCATTAGAATATTTCTGCCATCACCAAACAGCAGCATGAAGTCACAGGTTTGAGTGTCATGTGAAATAAATACAACAAGTGACATTATCAAGCAATCCTTTGGCCATATGTTATATAAGAGCCGTATTTCTGGTCAGTGTACTTTGTTGCACAAAGGTGACTTTGTTCAACTTTAATTTCTTTAGTTATAATAGTAATGCTGTTTTTTTATCAAATATGCAGACGATGCCCCATGCAAACAATTTCCAGTAAGGAGACGCCCCCATCATTCAATTCAATTAAAAAAAAAAAATACTTTATTAATCCCAGAGGGAAATTATATGTTGGGTAACTCATCATCCTGGTTTCATTAATGAGTTGTTCTAGATGCTGATGGCTGTGGGCAGGAAGGATCTCTTGTAGCGGTCTGTCCTACAACGGATTTGAAGAAGCCTCTGACTGAAGACATTTTGTTGTTGTATGACAGTCTGATGAAGAGGATGCTGAGGGTTGTCTATAATGTTTTTCATTTTATGAAGAATCCTTCTTTGTACAATCATCTCCAAAGGTTCTAGAGGAGTCCCCAGAACTGAGCCAGCCTTCTTTATGAGCTTGTTGAATTGAATTGAATTAATCCACCATGCTGGTGAAAATTAAGAAATACGCCAGGTAAACAAGAGGTCTTTGTTAAGTAAGATGACTAAGTGGAGCCCAGCCTTTCAATTAACCATCATTTGATTTGGTCTCTTGCTTTATGGATTAAAAGCAATTGCCCACCAACATCCTGACATTCAGAGGATTATGTCTTTAATCATACCATTGTCGCTGTCATGAAGAAATTCCATGGTAAGAGACTTCCCAGGCCCAGGATGAAGAAAATAATCCATACGGCATTGTACCTGTGAAAGCAACAACCAGAAAGTACATCAATCAAGCCAGTCATCTTTGAATCAACAAACAACTTATTTACTGACCCTCATCTTAGCCTAATTTAGAACATGCAGATGTTAAAACACAAGGGTCATTGCTTGACACAAACATAACTTCCTGTCTTTGAAAAGAACTTCTCTTACTTGTCCCGGGGTGCGTTGATGGCCGTCATGGTTCTCAGACCGTCACTGGTTTGTTTTCACTGTTTGATGGAAATGGAGCCAATTCTGCAGTGACCACAAAGATGAGCATGTTAAAAAAATAAAATAAAATAAAAGATTTAGCAGGACATCACAGAAGCGCAGTCATCATTTCTTTTATAAGCATAGTTGTTTCAACAGATGGAGGCATTAGATTTCTTATGAGGCTGTCTGAAGAAAAGACTGCTTTTTTACTCTCCAGTTTATAGAAACAAGTGTTAAGACATTTCCAATGTTAACCTACTGCATTCATATACGAACTATCAAACATCTGCTGTAGGTTAATGACTTAAGTTGTTATTTTCCAGACAGGGTGAAGATATTGTTTATAAGAATGAGGAACTTAAAAACTTGTATCCAGACGTTCAAAACAAGCTGGCACAGGCAGTAAACTCCCACCACTAATGACCCTAACAAAAAGAGGCCCAAGGTTGTTTAATGTTTATTACAACAAACAGAAAACCGCACAATTTTTTGCATTTAAAAAACACACAAACTTCTTCATTCCCATCAGTTTCTCTAAAACAATTGGACTTCAAAATGCAATCTTGAATCAAAACAGAAATTAATTCAACTGAAAAATGGACTTAAAGTCTTTTACTCCAACTTCTTGCCAGACTGATCAACTTTGAGCTTTAAAAAAAAAAAAAAATAGATGTGGTAACAAGTCCACTTCCTAGTTTTTGCAGCAGGAACTCAAGGCATTTATTGGTCAGACAATCCGGCCACAAGAACTAAAGCTGGTCAAACACACATGCAACAAACATTTTGAAACAATCTTGCTGCACTGAGGTGAAGGAGCACTTGTGAATTTTAGAATAATAAAAAAAAAAACTATATAAATGAGAAACATCATCTCAAAGCACATTTCTCCTACAGTAGACAAAAACTATTTTAAAAAAGAAAACTTCATAAAACAAATTACTCTGAAAAACTTACTTGGAGAGACGAGTTCAAGGCAGTAAATATACCACTCATTGGATGCACAAGTACCAGATAAGCTTTAGAGGCTTCACTTTATAGCATACATAGATTTAGTAGGTTGACACCATTAGACCTGCCTCTCTTTGCATCTCTGTCCCTCCTTCTGCTCGTCTCCCAACCCCACCCTTCAACAACTTAACATTTACAGTCTGTGCACATATATGTGAATTCTTTCAGTCTAAATTCATATTTGAAGCTAAACAATGGAGCTTTAATGATGATTCTTAAATCGCCAACATCACACCCAATGCAATTCCTCATTGCTATACAGCACAACCACCTTCATCTCTGTTCAAGAGTTCATTTTCTCTTCACTTTTTCACAGGCACATCACACACCCCAACACGCTCTTCTGTTTTGTCATTTTTAAAATGCACCAATTAGTTTTAGCCAAACACTTTTCCCCACCTCTAAAGTGTATTGGAGCAGATGTGTTCAGATGGTTCAATGACACCTTTTGCAAACTGAATAATTTCCCTGGAGAGCAACGCCTCCTTTGAAAACAAAGCAATTTGGTGTCTCATCAACCTAAACAGCAGGTTAGGTTGTCCCAAAATGAGTTTACAAGAGTTTAAAATGTCACAGATAATCAAATGAAAGTGTCTGGTCATCAACGTAAACACATTAAATAGCTACAATATAGACTTTTTTCTACTTCTGGTAGTGCTTTAGTTTCTGTAAAAAGTTTCCAGTTTTTGTGTCTTGTTCTTGCAGCCATGTAATAGACCCTCAACAGATTCCAATGTTTTCACATTGTTCTGCTGCTCAAAGGTGGTGGCTATGAGTTATGCACAGAAGGTGAAATACAAAGACGACTTCACAGAGGAGGGTTTTTTTTATGAGTCACACAAGAGAGCGGCAGATTTATACCCATATTATGATTTTAGCTGCAGATACTTTAAATTTAGGTCATCAAAGGTTGTTCCACAGCAGCCACACTGACAGGATGTGCCCGACTACCAGTATATCTTGTTTGTAGTACTTTTCATATCTAGATGTTGTGAAGGGCAAACAATAGACATTTGGATACGATATGACTTCAATCTACCTAATCAATGGCATCACTAGTTTATTAATCTTTTTAAGAAATAAACATGGTGTTTATTCCTTAACAGTTTTCTTTATGCATCAATTGTAAAAATGTTTACCACTGGAAAAAAAATGTCAAAATTAAACTAGACCAATAATTTAAAGTGTCTGCTATAATAGTGACAATTTACATTCAACGGTTTACCGCTTTGAAAAAAAAAATCCATATATCACAAGTTTTGATGATAGGACTGTCCAAAATGGCCTTCTTAAATATCAATTTAAGGAAGCTAAAACTCACTCAGGCAACTTTAAATCTCACTATTCGCAAGGCAAAGATCATTGTTGCCTACTCATGAGAAATCACACTGTTATTCTGCATATTACTCACAGGGTCCACCACATAATCACCCCTCACAAATCACACATTAGCAACAGAAGACTGCTATGGCAACCAAAAGCTGAGAAACAATCATCTATGGGACGGGACAAGAGTTTACCTGGGATATAACAGTGAGGTGTGGAAGTTTCAAAACAAGCCCGGAACAATAAATTAAATCTAAAGTCTTCAGACAGTCATTAATTGTCTCCAAATTGTGCTCACAACAAAAATAGTTCAATGGAAACACTGACCTGAGGCTTTGTGGTAGTTTCAGGGTTTATCTGGGTGGTTTTCTCCATCGGATTAAGATAATTTGATCACCAGATGTGAAAGGGACAGTTGAACTTCTGGTGCCATTTGTTACACAACTTCTTCTCTAAAGTTCATTCATGAACTGAACAACATTCAGAAGAGACTGAAAAAGTACACATGATCAAATTTACCATTTATCTCAGTTTCTCTCCCTCGGCCACGGATTCTTCAAAATTAGTACATTTCTAATTTGTTTTCAACATGACGGCATACTCCACTAAAACCAGTGCCTTACTGAGAAATGTGACGTCATTTATTCACTTATCTCCCTCTTCAAATTTTTTTTTTTATAGATTACTCTTAGTACTTTAATAATCTAAGAGAAAATGATCATTAGAGGAAACAGCTTCAAACAGACCTTTTTTTTTTTGTCCTCTATCTTGTAACCCTTCCCGAGGACAATTGTATTGACAATCTTATGGTCCGTTTTAAAATGGGCTTCTGGGAAAAATAAAGTACGACCCATTTTCTCTTCTTCTGGTTGTCTTGACAAACGTCTAATCTCTCCATTGTGCTCAGTCAGGCCAAAGCTTATCAGGAAGGCTTCACAGACAACAACAAAGGACAGTTTAAGACGCAGTGGCCATGTTCCTGTTAAAGTATTCCTCTCTAAATCTAATGTGTCATTATCACAAGCCAGCTGGCAAAGGTTTACTTGGCGCTGAAATGTTTCCCAACACTCAATCACTCACACACAAACACACACACTTGGCAGTCTGCAGAGTGGCACACAAGTTTGTATGGTTGGTCTTCCTGTCACATTCAAAAAATGACACTCAAATGAACAAATACCTAACATCTGATTGCTTGTTAGTTTTCTTCTAAAAAATAAAGTTTAAAGTATGCCTAACACACCTTAGGCAGCAAAAGTTGTAACAGTGTCCAAACTTTAAATTGGGAAGCATGTGCTGTGCACGCCTGCTGCCAAATTATATTCTGTATGCTGCCTGAGCACAACCGTGCATGCTGAGAGGAGAGGTTTACTGTTAAGAGAAGTCGTTGAAGTTAAAGTGAACTTCATCCATCTGAGAGTTAACAAAAGAGCGGACACCAGCAGAGAAAGAAATCTCAAGTAGGTAGCAGTTTGTCAAGTCCAAAACAAAAAGCACCATGAAATGTTCAAATTTCAAGGAAAGAAACTGCTTTAAACATTTCTTTGGTTGCTCCTTACACCAGGTCGTATGTTGGTTTAAATTAAGAACAAAGTGTTCATGTTTCTCACTGTACTCTTCTGTCACAGAGTTGTCTTTATTCCCCCACAGATTCATGGAATAGTTTGATGTTGGTCATATGATGACGGGGAGGAACACCCTTCCTGGAGATCATTTCCTTTTCCTTATGGGAGCTAAACACACAATTTGATCCATTTCATCTAAACTGGAATTCATTTCTCAAAAGTACTCAGAGAAAATAAAAAGCAATAACATATTACTTTATAGACAAAAAAAAAAAGTGTTTTGGGAAATTTAAACTAAAAAAAAAGTCAAAATGTTGTACAATGTTGTTGTATTTAGTCACAATGAAATCTCTTTCTTTATAAGAGAACCAGAGAAAAATAAAATTCACAGAAATAGTTGCAACACAAACACCCTTCTCAACATGAGGTGTTGATTTAGGGAATGACACCAAATAATAAAAAAAAAACCAATTTAATTCTGTCCTCATTATGTCTAAAATTATGTTTAGCTCCTCAGCATCAGACTGGGAAAAAAAGAAAGGTGGCTGAAGGTTACCTAACATTTAAAAAAATGATGCAAACTTCAAACTATTGCATAACAAAAAGAAGCTAGAAGAGTCATTTTTTCCAAGACGTCTGGTCTGAACATTGAAGAGAAATGAACAAAAAAAAAAATTAAGATCTTTATTTAGGTGCATCAGCTGTCCCACTTTAAAGGCAGACATGAGGGAATTATTATCCAGCATTTCCAATGTTGCTGCCTACTCACTGCTAATATTATTTAAATCATCAAGTGGATCTTTGACACTGGAAGTGGTTTTTCTGGGACATGAAACACAAATTTATCAATTTAAAGTATGCTATATGAGCCTTAGCATTTCTGGTATTGGATACTTTAATTTTATATTATTACACTCAATATAATTGTACCGAACTTTTGCTAGTTGAGCAGCAATAATGGACAGTTTGCAATAATCATAAAACAAAACAAGTGGTCTGCTGATCTCTTGCCTTTATGCTGTTCTTCATAATCATTTGCTCACTATAGACTCGTTTGGGCTGCGGTTTAATATACCATATTATTTTACATTATTAGTGTTTAGCATATATTTTAAATCTTTTAGCGTATTGTTAATGTTTGTC